AGAAAATCCATGGCGTTTGATCATATTCAAATGCCCCTGAGAAAATAGATGCTGGCGGCATAAGAGGAGTCTGTTTTCTTTCTGGCAAAAAAATTGAATACTAAATAAATAAATATTTCCAGCCCAGACCATGTTCTAGGGAAGATGAACACCAGAAGAAAAAAAAAAAAAAAAAAAACCGATGAAGGAAAGAAAAGCCAATCGAAGCTAACTTCGATCCATGAAGAGAGAGGATCATACCATCGCGGTCACCACCCATCCAGGAAGAGAACTGGATGAGAGGAGCATTGTACGGTACGCGCTCATTTATGCCAATGTTCTTCAAAGCAGTGTCAACCCTGCGCAAGAATCTCGGAACGCCCTTCCAAATAGTTTCATGGAAATAACTCATCCCGGCCCTCATCTCATCCTGGGGAGTCGGAGGAGTTCTCCTGATTTCATCAGTCCGGAAAGCAGCTTGGATCTGCAGTGTTCCCACATTGAGCATCTTCAGTCAGAGATCTGTTGATTCCGAATCATTTTTTTTCCCAAAAAAAATATATATATTTTTGGGGGCTAACGATTGGATGTGAGCATTTGAGAAATGGGTAGAGCTCAAAGATCTGAAGCTGGGAAAAATACATTTTTTTTCAATTTATTTTATCTTGTATATATTTCAATTTATGGTGGGGGGACAACAGAGATGGAATTTATTTAATCACCCTGAAAATAAATAAATGCATTAGAGAGTGAGGGGGGCAATCGAGGAACGAAGGATGAAACAATATGCATGGACCTTTATGTTCATGAGAAATGACTCTGAAGAAAGAGAATAAAATAAATAAATGGATACCTCCCGTTGGAGGGCCTCATCGAGTTCTTGCTTGTCATCAGGCGTGATGTCTTTGGCGTACAGCTGCGCCAGACAATTCCGAATCCTGAAAGTTTAATCGGCTTTTTGGTCAAGAAATTTCTTCCTCCGACTGCTAGAAATGAAGTGATTTTATCCGATTCTGTGAATTAAGAGGGGCCCGATTTCGGGTGATTGCAGTGAAGGAGATCGATGGAGAAGGTGAGGAATTCGTCGTAGTTGATCCGATTCACCTTCCGTGTTTCTGGAGCAGCGATCGGCGGACCGACTGCGTTGGGTGCGCGGTCAGAACGAGATCCACGGTCTGGTTCTTCAGAGCGTCGAAGACCTCCTCGGGGGATTTCTTCAGCCGCCCCACGAGCCTCTTTAGGGTTTCTTCGATGTCGGACTCAGTGGTCGCGTTGTTCTCGTCGACGAAGTCCCCCTTCTTCTTCTTGTTGCGCCGGCGGTGGGCAATCTGGACCTCCTCGGCGAGGTTGGCCAGGTTGAGCATGTGGGAGAAGGAACTGGCGATGACGATGGAGTCGCCTGGATCCAGGCTCGTGAGGACCTCGCCGAGCTCCTCCAGCTTCTGCGGGTCGTTCTTCCCCTCGTACTCCGCGGAGAGCTCGTAGCACTCTTGAACCTGTCGACGCGAAGAGGAGAACCAGTCAGGAACCCTCATCCCGATCCCCAATAGCCACTCTGATATGGCAGATGACGGCCCCGACTGCCCTAATTTCGGAGATATTCACTGAGACCGGTACGGTACATACGGAAGAAGAGGAGAATCGAGACAGAAGGGAGGACTGCTGATTTCCGTACCGTTTCCCTGATCTCCTCTCCATGGAGGTCCTGGAGAATGTCGAGGAAGCGATCCAAGAGCAGCGCGTCGTATTCCACGAGCTTGTCGTCCTCGGAGACCTTCCCAGGGGCCAGTAGCCGCAGCTGGGCGTCGATGGACGCCATCTTCTCCAGGTTATTCGCATTACGCGCCATGAAACCCGACCCACAGCTTCGGGCCCCAAGCCCGGAGCTCACTCGACCCCGCAACTACTTCTGAACAGGAAGAGGTCGATGAGCAGGAAAAGGAAAACGGAGATGGAGACCGCCCTAGATTTCTCCCGCGTCTTCGGCTCTGCTTTTAAGATCAGAACTCGCGGGGCTGGAAAGGCATGGATCAACGAGGAAGGCGATGAAGAGACCCAGAGAGAGAGAGGATCTGTCAACTGGACAATTGCGCCGTATGGAATGGGCTCTGACCTTTATAGAAAATCCAGACCTCTCTCTCTCTCTCTCTCTCTCTCTCTCTCTCTCTCTCTCTCTCTCTATCTATCTATCTCTGGTGGGGGAGGAGCAACAGAGGAGAGAGAAACTAATCATCTAAGGCAGCGTTAGGAGACAGGAATATGCCCTCACCCGCATGCTGATTCCGAGGCGTGGAGGGCGGGCCGGCGGCGGAAGAGAGAAGTCCGCCGTCGACCCGCCGCCGCGCCGGCGGTAGGTCAGCCGACCACACCGGGGATTAACTGCCAAGATCGCCGCCGGAGATAAATTTATACTTTTGTTTACCATATTTGGGTTAGAATCAGACAGGTACTCGTTGAATCGAGGTTCCACTTGAATGGCGCATGAGAACGACGCAAATTTGTTACCAAAAAAGGGTATTTCTATTTTGTGTCGGAGAAGAAATCTAACTTGTCTACTCTTAGAGTGTTGACTTTAAGCATCTACCTTGGGAAAATCAGAGAACGAATGAAAGAATCTAATAGGATCGTTGACTTGGAAGAATGGGGATCCCCTCAGCACCAGAATTCTCTAGAGACTACCTCTTTGTAAAAAAATTAGATATATAAATGAGCTAACAATGATTTCACAACGGATGGTCCCTCTTATTCGTGAAGGTTGACTTAGTAACAAGTTTTGATACTCATACCAAAAGTAATGCATGGTTGACTTCCAAAATTGCTTGATATGGATTTGCTTATGCAGTAAAAAAACATGTATTATTAGGTGCTTATCAGGCAAATATATGAACAATTATCCAACAGATTAATATTATTCTAAGGAGGGAAGAATTACCCACTATGTAGATCGCAAAAGGGATCATTTGATTGCAATTTAGATCAACGAACAATATTGACGAATGAATTAATACAATAATTATATTAAAAAAAATAGTTGCATGAATATTGGGTCATCAATTTCGAGGCTTTCTCTCTCTATCATTACACATTATGATCACATAGTTGCCCCAGGTCAGATGGACCCAACGTGACCCTCTCTATGCACCAATATGAGGAGAGAGAGAGAGGGAGAGAGAGGGAGTAGACGAATCTAGAAGCTTAAATCTAGTCCGCAGGGGCCCTCTCAAATGTATTTAAAAGTCAATATAGGGTGTGCTAAATATAGTATCTTTGACTTTTGTACGTATTATTTGATGGGTACGAAATGGCACATGGTGTGAGCATAAACAAAGCGAGCGTGGTCGGGGCCGGCTGCATTATTAGGCAAGTTGACGACGGACAGAGACAGCCGTTCCTTGTCCTATGCGACAGGGGGGAAGAGAGAGAGAGAGGCAGGCGTGTATGATGACGTCATCCACTGATACCTTATCGGGCAGTGTGAGTCGGAGTGTGACCCACGTGGACGGCGGCGGCCGCGAGTGCCCGTCCGGTTCCCGCCGTCCCAGGTGGGCCTGCCACCGACCGGCTGAGACCGCACTTATCGGATAAGAGGGACGAATTTTCAGCCGCTTTTTTATTATCCTTGCAAAAATGATGTCGTCGGGCCTGGGCCAGGCCCGAAAGCCCTATCGAGCCTTCACTAAGAGCAAGGGAGAGGAATGTGTGGCAAGTAAAATAGGATACTAAATTTTCGGGCGGGGCCTCAGATAGAGGCGGGCTTGAATACCGAGGCCCGGCCTGGCTTTAAGCTCGTCTGGCATGTCGACATCCTCAGGCCCAAATCTATAATTCTCTATTTTATATTATTAATCGGAGGCCTATAATTGTACATTTTATATCACGGATTGGGTCCCACGGATCATATGATCTCTCTCTCTCTCTCTCTCGCTAATCGCTTTGACTGAGAAGCCGACGGACGTCTCTCGTGAATATCCACGAGAACATACTGCCTGCGCTGACTCAATCGATCGACAGTGGTTCTCTCCCTCTCTCTCTCTCTCTCTCACTCTCTCTCTCTCTCTTCTCTGGCATCGCTTGAGTTGACCACGTGGACCATCTTACCTGTGGTCCCACTGGCACCTCATGTGGAACGCACCCGAGCACTAACCAGTCACGAGCGCAAAAGTCCAACTTTTCCGGAGGGCGGCGCCGCCAACTAGGAGGGGTGGTTATAAAGAGGCCACTGGGCCCGGGTATCGGGGAATCGGATTCCTCCCTCCGAAAATCCCTCACCCGAAAAGCGGGAAAATCCGATTCCGGCTGCGGACCGAGGAACTTAATTGAAGAGATCCCTATATTATATTTTATTATATGCGTTATCTAATACTGATTATTTAAAAAATATTAATTAAATACTAAAATAAGGACGGAACCCATAGAGGGGATTTCTTTAACGATTATTTCAGTAAATAATCCCATTATCTGTCTATATTATTTTATGGGCCGGATTGGGCTTCGGTCGGGTCTAACATGCAGTACCGCGGAGGAAACCGAGTCAACTCAGACTCTGGTCCGACGTGGAGCCCACAGCGGGCTGGTCAAACGAGTTCGAAGACTTAAAAAAAAAAGAAACGATGGTCAGACCCATAGCTGTTTACACAGGTTCCGTGAGGCTGCCACGACAACCCTTCCCTCACCTCTGGTTCATCTCAGATCTCTCAATGGGCGGCAGAAGCTCGCCAAGATCTTACCCTGCGAACATTTTCTCCGAAATCTGTCCGAAACGAGGAGGACCCCCAGCTACAAGTAACTATCTGTAGAACAAGAAGCAGAAAAAGTCAACGCCCAATTTTGGGGAAATATGCCGCCAAAATTGAATTCACAGTGGATAAATATCTCTTATTCTCTTCCATATCGAAGTAAACAGGAAAGACAAATGTCTCCATCTTGGGTTCTTGGGGTAGGCAAGGAATCCGGTCAAAATAACCACCTTGATATGGTGGGTAACAGGAGATCTAGTCAAACCCAATTTTTTTTTACCATTTTTGTCAATGCCAAGCCCCAGTATGATCCAAGTATCAATGCTCAGAGGTGATGAATTAAAAAATATAAAACAATAAAAATTCTTGATGGGATCTATAATATTCAGTGGGTGAGGGGTCCTGGAAGAGTTCTTCACCTAGAACGAAAAGAATTAAAGAAGCATTCGGTAATCTGATAGAAAGATGGATCTGTGAGGCCCCTGGGAGCTTCTTTCTGGTGCAATGGGATCTTGAATAGTCTTGAAAGAGCGTAACTAGTAGAGGCGATCATATAGATTTTCTCCTTTTTCTTCCAAAAATCTGGTCACCCATCGATGTTGATCATCTGTTTTTTTTTTTTTTTTCCAATTTTTGTTCATGACATGATGCCAATCAGAAAGAAGAAAGAATTCAAGCGTGTGATTTTCGGAGGACTTAGTCAGACCATGTAAGTACAGATCAGTTGACTTTTGAACTTTATACACTTCCTAGAGATGATGGATAGGGGAAGAGTGACGAGAGAAACTCATCTTCTTCACGCTCTTTTTGACTTTTTTTCTTCTTGCTCTTCCTCGCAAGTCAACGAATCAAATTCCCTCAGCTGCCTAGTCACGCCTCTACCATGGGAACACAAGATGGGTGGTTTGACTTCCCCCCATTAAACACGAATTATCTGAGCATTTATTCATGGAATCTCGGCCAGACTCCCTAGTGAGGTAGTCCCACTTTGTGAAAACAAGTTCGTTGACCAAAAGAGTTTATAGATCTCATCCATGAAGTTGCAATAATCAAGCACAACAAATGCAGAAGAGCTTATAGTCAATGACGTCGAGCTCATCAGACAGGCCGTTGATTGATCATAACATCAAAAGTCAATTCATGAGTTCCCTTGCGCAAAAGAAACAATAGAAAATAGAATTAATAATAATTGCTAAGAGAAAATAGAATGGAGAAATAATAATAATTGCATAAATTTTCATGAGAAATGCAGCAGAAAATATAATAAACCCTCATAATGCATGGTGGGACTGAACCCTGACATGCCACAATCATGACTGCTCGGACAAGATACACACGTACAAACAATTTTCAGGTTTATGATTTTCTACAATTACTTAAATTGTGTCGAAATAAGATAAAATCAGATTTTTTTTTTTCATTTTTTTCATGTAAAATGAAGGAGTGCGCTGATTGGCATTATCTCATGCCATTCTTTCTTCTACTTTAAATTCATGATATATTATACACTAAAAAAAAGGAAACAAAGCTCATATATACATAAATTTCAATATTTGCTTATGACATTTCACAACATCAATACCAGAACAAGTAGAGAGCAGCCATGAAAGTGGCCGGAAGCACATATCTTTACAGAAATAACTAAGACTAGCGAGTAACAAGTATAGCGTTCCACACAAACGGCTACCAAACATAGGAAAATATATCATATAAATGGCCATAACAGATAGCATTATGGCCATTATGGCCAAAACATAGGAACATTATGAATCCCTCGAAACAGAGGCAGCCAAGCGATATCCCATCTAGAACACTAAAGAACCCCAGATACCCCTTTGATAAAATCTCAAAAAAAGAAAAAAAAAAAAGAAAAGAAAGAAGAAGCAAGTAGACTAGGTAAACAGATAGATGGCCTTCTTTAACCAAATCACATAGAGGGCTACTGCCTGCTTCACACACAAGAAACTCCTAAAGAAATATGATTGTTGTTACTATTACTATCACTATTATTATTAATTATTATTATTGGGGGGGATTGAATGATCCAAAGTAGAATCAACCCATTTAACGTATCTTATTCATATTCCCAGATATTCAGAAAAAGGTGCCCCAAAAAACTAAACTCCCATTCAGAAGACCAGACAGAGGAATCCCCAGCATCTCCCCCAGCTGAGAGGGTCTCCCTCTCCGGTACTACCCACAGGAGAGGTCAGCACTGTTCCAATGATATGAAATCATACAATGAAAAGATCTCCGTACCATGGATCCGATCAAAATATCACACTATGACCACCTGGCCAAAAAAGCATTGTTCGCCCTAAAAATCTCTGACACTCAGCGAGCCATCAATACGGTAGTTGGCGCAAAGAGCTTATCTCAAAAACGAGATGCTAGCCCGACAGCCATGGGGGATACGAAATAAGAGCAAGATGCTATGCAGAAATCTGGAAAAGTATCCCCAGGGTTCGCCCATAACAGTAGAATTCTCTCATAACCCAAAGATGGAAAGTCTTCACTCTCAATGAGTCAAAGGCGTTGCACCAAGGCTTCCTACTTTGAAAATCAAAGATTATCTTACATCATTCCTACTCTGTGAAGGTACTTACCATGAAAATTCATTGCATCCTCTCATTCCATCACGATGTGAGGTTCACTAAAACGATTACATATTCGGGATCCCTTGAGAAACAGTAGCATTTTCAAAAAATCCTTGCCTGATTTCCATGACCACTTACTGTGGCGAGGTGTTGTCAGCATACTAGACATAAAGATCACTTCCCTGATTCAAAGGCGCAATAACCCCAGTGAGAATGAAAAACAGGTGTTTCTAAGGAGCTGCAACAGACCTATTGGTTTGTGAACCGAGCGGAAAGACAAAGAGATTGTCTCATCTTCTAAAGAACCAGCAAAGCTGCTTGGCAATGTTTTTTCCACACCCCATTGTGAAGCTCGAATTGAACGGTAGTTGTCAAATGGCAGCTTCAAATTAAATTCAGCAGGAAAAAAAAATGTTGTTTATTGGAGAGAGATGCCAGAAAGCACCTAGGAAACTATAAAGAAGGAGGTATTTCCGCAAGAGTCTGGTGACAAAGATCTGTACCCAAGCACGTCAAATCTGGATTAGACAATCAAATATGCCCATAGACCATTCCAATACAAATCATATATTGATCGTTCAAAATGCATAAAAATTATACCCTCTAAGTGGTTGGCAACTGGTAGATGGAGATAGGGAATCAGACAAGCTTCGGGTATTCTCCTTTGTCCACCTATGTGTTTAGGTGTTCTTGCCTCTCTGTGGTGAGGGTATGCTGTATTGTAAAATCAACTGGCCCCGATGAGGGCGTTTGACCTGAGTTACAGAAAACAGGACTAACCCTGAGTTCTGATGGAGAAGGAAGAGACCTAAGCATCTACTAGTTCATTACCCAAATTTTCTCTCACACAACCCCTCGAGTAGACAACCAACCCATCTCCCCGACCAGAAAAAAAGCTTTCATCATTTCCTCAGTGCACAATCCCATTTCCCTAATAAAACGATTTAAACAGAGATACTTTCAGAGAGCTACATCATATGCTTGATGAGGTTTGACGACACATCAATGCAGAGATGCAGCATACAGTCACATGTATTGATGCAGATCTGATGATTTCCCGCACAGAAATAACCACTGGAAAATGAACTTTCGAGCGTCTACCACTGCATTCCTACGACATCACTCGCCAATGTGAGGAAGATGATGATATCGACAGCAAAGCTACCAGCATAGCTTGTCCGATTAAAGCAAAGAAAGGAAGGGCTTCCCATGAAGTGAATACCTTCACATAGTCTTAAGAGAAAACAGTAAAGGCACAAAGATTCAACTTTGTAATGCTACAAACGTACCAGAGGGGTCCCTTTTGGCTCGTTTGGACTTCTCCAACTGGAGCTGACAGTCCACGAATATTTGCATCCGCTGGAACTCCAGGCCCTTTGTGAACTCCATCCTCTCCTTCTCTAGTTCCATCATCTGCCGCTGCTTCTCTGCCTCCACCCTCTCGTATACCTCACCGAAACGCAAAATCGCCCGCGCAAGTTCGCGAACTGCCTCGGCATCGTCATTGTCATTGCCGGCAACACTGCCATTGTTACTTCCCCTCTGCCCTCTCCCTCTGGTGGGTCTCTCAGTACTGGACTTTGAGGACTCCGGTCCTGCTTCCTCGTCCTTCCGCTCCGCGGCGGCGGCAGCCGCAGCAGCTGCCGCGGCAGAGTATTTCCTGTTCAGCAACGAGGAGTCTTCTGAAGGAGCCACCAATGTATGACGCTTATCCCTCGCGGTCGACGGGGAGGCAGCCACCGAGGCCGACGGCAGGGAGGAATTCTTCCGGTAGGGCAAGGGAAACGCGAGAGGCGGCGGCGGGGAGGGCTTGTGAGAAGAGACCTCGGAGGAGCCGATGAGCGCGTCGAGGCGGTCGAAAAAGGCCCACTGGCTGGAGAGCGCGCCGCCGGAGTTTGTGATCCGGGCCTTCTCCACCTTGTACTTCTTCTTGAGGGTGTCGATCCTGTTCTTGCACTGTATGTCGCTGCGTGGGGGCCTCCGGACGGCGGTGCGGCGGGAGTTGACGGCGTCCGCTACCTCCTGCCACTGCTTCTGGCGCAGGTTCCCCCGGTTGAGCTCCAGGAAGCGGTCGCCCCAGGCATCGATTAGGGTAGACGTCGCCCCCTCACTCCAGCAATCCTCGCGGTAGGGCAGCGCAGGATTCGGTGGCTTCGCAGCCCCCCCTCCCTCTCTCCCCTCCATCTCCGCTCCCTCCCTCTGCAACCTCCTTGCCCTCCTCCTATCGCCGGATCGGCCACTTTTGGGGGATCAGCGAGAGCGAGGGTGAGGGCGAGACCCGGGTGAGCCGCATGTGGGAGAGGATTATACGGGAAGACGCCGGCCGGTGGTGGGGCTGTTGGAGGAGGAGGAGGACCGCGCTTTCTGGCGGCCGGGCTCGGGGCTCGGAGATCTCTCCTGAGGCGGCATCGCCGCCGTTGGTTCCGTCCTGACGCGTCGGCAAGGCATGCCGCCGCAGGACGGGGCGGATTTTGACGGGAAGATCGGCGCAGGAAATCCGAGCCCCCCCGGTAATTTAAACTCCCCATCTTAATCCGTCAGATCTGCCGCCGGTGATAAGCCTCCCCGGCGGAGGGCAGATCTGGAAACTCCGCCGCATCGGTCGTCCTCCCATTACTGCCGCCGGTCGTCGCAGCAGCGTCGCCTCGGTTCCTCCCCCCGCTGTAGGTGGAGGAGGGGCCGGCTGAGCTGTCAGCCGCCGCAGCTGCTTCGCCGGCCGCCGTGGGGACGAAGAAGGAGCAGAAGGGAGGACCTGTCAGCGTCATTGCCGCCGGGTCTGACTTCTTCCGCCCTGTGGAGCTCCGACGATCAGGCGACCGAGGAAGAAAGGACGGACGGACGGACGGACGCCGAGGATGCCTCCTCCGCCTCCGTCGGCGGAGGCAGTGCCGCCGGTGGGGATCATCAACGGCCACCCGAGCGAGGTGAGGAATCAAGGGGAGGCTGCACCAGATCGAGCGAGTGAACTAAGGAGGGAGAACGCGATCTCCGTCCATATCGCGTCCTCTTTATCCGACGACTACTTTTATCCGTGCGGTGTTGGCCATCATGTCCTGTGGGTCTTCTTGGACTTCGTCAAATTCGTTGACTTTACCAAGATAAGATTTTAAACCGCAGGGTTTGGAGATTTTCTTTTTTCCAGCCGCATTGCTACGCAACCCGCAAAGGCTCATTTTTAGTTAGGTCTTGGTTCTTGGGGGATTTTTTGGAAGTCAACGCCTGCTTTTGGATGTCTATGGATCACGAACTATGAAGTCAACTCAGTTTCCTTTAGGGAGAAACTTAAAACCATACTAATATGAGAATCTTTCCCACTACCACAATCCCAAGGTACTCATTTTGACTGGCGACTGCACTCTTTAAGAGAGCATCTCTCTGACTTGGGACACGGCAGGGTAGGACCCGCAAAGTCAACCCCACTGATTCTAGTCCAAAAATAATAATAATGATGATACAAAACAACAACAATGAGAAAAACAATTATAATAACCAAAACTGTGTCATTAGTTCTTCATCTGAGCCCTCCCTGCAATATAATCCAAATGTTTGGGAAACTATCGACTGATGTGGGGTCCAGGGATGATGCTCCATTGACGATCAGGCAAAGATCATGAAGCATATTCACAGAAAAGAGGACAGGATCTACTTTTAAGCATACTTAGACTCCAGAAAGGAAAGTCAAATGAGAGGGAGAGAGCTAGGGAAGAGAATTGTGAATATCCATTCCGGGTCTAATCTCATTATTTGAGGAATGCAGATATGACGAATTCACATAAATAGAAAACCATATACGGTCTGTGACTGATTCCAAGGAAAAAATGCGAATATAACCACAAGTAAAAAAAGGAAAAGAAAGAACCAATTTGAAAAAGCTCTGAAAAATATTAAAGAACACGAAAAGTCAACGGCACAAAAGACGAGAAAAAAGAAAGCAAAGAAAAAGTAAGTGTTACTCTCCCTTTACTCCCCTGCACACAGACTCAACGGTGCTCCAGAGGCGGAGATCGCTTCCAAGAGCTATCTACTACCAAATGGCTCATGACGACCATTTTTAGTCAAGGTTCCACAAATATCAAAAGCCATATGATTTTGACTTCAGTAGTCAAAGCAATGAAGCATAGAAAAAAAGATCACATCTGCAGACAATGAGATGGAAAACAGGGGAAATTCCATAAGTAGATACCCTGTCAACACTTACCCGATCCCCCCCAGGTTGAGGAAGCTGCCCTAATCGTCGATCTTCTTCAGCTTAGGCATGGCTACTGAGAGAGAAGCCCTCCTGGCCGGATATGGAATCCATCTGTTGAGCGAAGAACCCAGCTCGAAAGGTGATCTTCTGCCACAAACCTTCTCCGATTCATCGAACAGAATGGTGTAATTGCTGCTACTCACGTTCCTGGAGTAGCATCCATCTGTGCCTTCGTATCTGTAATCCTGCTGGGTGCTCCCCACGCCGCTGACGACTAGGTTCCCCTTGACTATCATGACGCCGTCGGCCTTCTGAGAATTTAGGAGGGCGCCGAAGGAGAACCCGAATCGCTCGCCGGTGAATCTCTTCTCATTGAACCCCAGAGAAAGGTTCGAGATCAGAGAGTAGGTCTCATTGGTCTGATCGGCGGTGCCGGAGTAAAGATGCAGAGGGAAGCTTCGGAAGATCTCATCGGAGAAGAGGACCGATCCGGGGCTCTTGACGTAGACGCCGGAGGTGGAATCTATGGTCTGGTTGATCACCTGCGTGCTGCCATTGTCTTTCATCTCCATGAAGTTCTTGTAGTCGAGCACCTGGAAGAAGTGGGTGGTGATCTTGCCGTGGGAGGAGATCACCCACCCGGTGGAGGAGATCCTCCTGTCGCCGGTGGTAGAGAAATTCCCGTCCAGGCCCTTGAAATCCGACAGAGCATAGAGCTTGAGCTCCGGTGACTCGTGCTTGATCAGTCCTCCGATGGTCTGCGAACTCTTGCTGTCCAGCCAGATATGGAGATTCCCGTCGATGAACCAGGAGCTGAGGGCGTTGGTGACGGCGAACCCTAATCTGTGGGGCTTCCCGTCCAGGAGCTTCCCAAGGAAAGGGGTGATCTCTATGTCGTACGACGGTAGGTCGAAGGAGCCGATGCCGGTGATCGGACGCCAGAGAAGGGGGTTGACGCCGCCGGTGTAGATCACAGGGAATGGCCACACCACGCCGGCGACGGCACCGTCGACGGTGACGACGACCTCCCTGAATGGCCCCTTCCCCGGCGTGCCGGTGAGATTGTTGGAGGAAATGTAGTCGTCGGGAAAATTGCCGTACCAGAACTCGTCGTCGGCGTGGAAGGAGACGAACACCTCGATCACCGCCCGGAAGGCATTCCGAGGGATCGTCACCTCCTTCGCCGGCGAATCGGCGGGGCTCTGAACCAGAAACCATTGACCATCTTCCAGGGGGAGATTCCGCGAGATCGGGAGGATCAGATCCGCCGGTGAGTCGAATCCATGATGCCGATGGGGGAGGTCTTTCCCTCCGTAGTAGAAATGGAGGCTGATGTTGGCGTGGTAGATCCCCGTGTAGGTCTGGTCGACGATGTTGCCGAGGAAGACGGCCAAGGTCTGGTTGTCGGAGAAGAAGAGGGAGGTGTAGCGAGTGACGTCCTTCTCCACCGTCCAGACGATGCCGGTGGCGCGCGGCTCGGCGGTGCAGCTTCGCAGGAGCTCCACGCCGCCGAGCCAGATCCCGAAGATCCGGTCGAACTGCCGGCCCCGGCAGGCGGCGCGCCACTCCAGAACCACCTTCGAGGGAGTTCCGCGGCGGCGGCAGTGGGAAGGAGGGGTGTAGGCGGTGGTGACCGGAGGCTTGCTGTAGGTGTAGGCGAAGTCGTGTTGCAGGAGGAGGACGGAGCAGGGCTTGTCGTTGGGGAGGGGGATGGGCCTCGTCACTTGGAAGTACTCCGTAGGGCCTGCCGGAGGAGGGGGCGGCGGAGATGTGGAATCCCGGCGGAGCAGCGCCACCGCATCCTCCTCTGACGTGGTGAGCCTCTCCCTCTTGATGGCGGCGCTGGATAAGCCAGGAACGACGAGGAGGAGGAGGAAGACGGAGAAGAGGAAGACGCAGCCCCCCATCGCCGGACGTTCCCTCCCTTCTCTCTCTCTTCTTTCTCTATTTCGTTAAAAAGAGTACATACACAATAAATAACTTAAATGCACAGAACTGTAATTTAGATATAGGAGAGAGGGGGTTTACAACGTAATGAGCTCCGTACGGCCCATTATCGTAGATGTTGGATCTGAGATTGAGCCCATTAATTAGAACAGACGTAGGCGGTATTGATCGCCCAACGCTCGCAGAGTCTCGCACGTCTCCCCTCTCTCTCTCTGTATCTCTGTTAGGACACACAGAGTACATACACAATAGCTAAAAAATAAATGTGAAAATTTTAATGTAAATATAGGGTAGGGGTTTTAGTATGTAATGAGCTCCATACGACCCATTATTGTGGAGTTGGGCCTGGATTGAGCCCATTAATTATAACAGACAAAAGCCTGCATTGAAAGGCCCAACGCTCTTAGAGGCTCGGACGTCACGTGAGGAGAAACGGGACCCGTGACCGAGCGCCGACACTGGGGCCCACCTTTAAATTCCTGCTAGATGGTGAGGACTGAACAAACCGACGAGGGCGGGAGGAAGACGACGACGAGAACTTGCAGGCTTTTCCAGCGGGGGGAAGTTCCGTCGCCGGCGTCTGCTGCGCGCAGGAAGCTGACGGATCTCACTCACTCTCTATCTCATCTCTTCTTCTTCTTCTTCCTTCGCGGCGATCTCCTTCACGGTGTTTGCAGAGATGGCGGAGCCGAGGGAGTTGGAGGCTGCGCTGAAGAACTCGATGGAGGACCGGGGGATCGGCGACGGCGGCGTTCTGATCTCCGCTGGTGGCTTCGTCTCGGCGCCTTCCTCTCCTCCGCCAGGCTCTTCCTCCTCCAACGGCGTCAGGAGCAGTGGTGCCGCGTCCGTCGGCGCCGAATCTGGAGCAGAGGATGGTGGCGACGGTGCCATCCTCTGCAAGTCGGATGTGAAGTCTGGTCCGATCGGGGAGAAGTCGCGAGCACGGAGCAAGGACGGCACCGGTTATGGTGATCCCCCTCTCGAGCCAGTCGGCCAACCTCTGGTTTGCATCGCTTCGTCGGCTTGCAGTACATCCGCTGCTGTGGCCACATCCGCCTCGTCTCTGAGGGAGATTTTATCGAAGTCCGAGAGGTCCGTCGAGGACTCGAATACGGATCTGAAGACGACGACGGCGGTATCGGAAGCTCCGGCGATGGATGAGCAGCGAGGCAGAGGAGGCGAGACAGGTGAAGATAAGGACGACGACGTCTTCTCGGACGCCCTGGACAGGCTTTCTCGAGCCGAATCCTGCTTCATGAACTGCAGCATAAGCGGGCTGAGCGGGGGAATCGACTCGCGGGAGTCGTCCCTTTCCTTCTCAAGGGATCCCCAGCTCCGAGAGTTCATGATGGACCGGTTTCTCCCGGCCGCCCAGGCACTGGTGTCAAGCTCGGCCCAAAGCTCCTCGAGGAAGACATGGACTCCAGCTCGTAAGCCATCGACGTGCGTTCTTCCAGGGGGAAGCCACCGCCGGCAGGTTGCTTCCCCTCCCAGCCAGCTCAGAAACTTTGCCGGAGGCCTCCACAGAGGGTACTCCAGCAGCGACGGCGACGGCGACCAGTGTGAGCACGCCGGCCAGGGGTTGGCCAAGGGATGCGGCCTCTTTCCTAGATTCTGCATGGGGAGCTCCTTCCGTCTCTTTAATGCCGTTCCGAGAGCGAAGCCGAGGGGAAGATCAACAGATATTGGATCCTCTAGCAACGCAGAATCCGAGGAGGAAAACGACGACGATGTCTTCAAGATATGTGGCGAGGACGGTGGCAGATACTGGGAAGTGACACCGCATCGGAGCACCAGACCACCGTCTGGTTCGTCTTCCAACTCTGTGCCGGTGCTGGAGACGCTCGCCTCCATTTTGAGCCGCCCAGAAAGTGAAAGCGAGGTGGATTTCGCAGAAAGTGAGAGCGCGGTTGCAGAGGAGAGCCGGAGAATCAGCAAACCCCTCGCCCTCGAAGCTCGCGAAAGACCAAAAGTAACCGACGCTGGCGAGCCTCTGCCTGGAGAAAAGGGAAAGCTCGACGACGACGACGACGACGCCACTCTGCAGGTTCTTCTTCCTCCTGCTCTCCCCAAATCCCCGACGGAGTCTTGGCTATGGCGCACCTTGCCCTCCCTCCCATCGAGGGGCCCAGCTCTGCATCCCCACCTAGGCGCTCAGATCCATCGCAGGAAGCAGGCCATCTGAAAACCATCATCTTCTCCATGATCACACGCAATGGGGTGTGGACCCGGAGAGTTGACCGTTCAGTTTCATCCTCCTCCGTCGCCTAATATCCTTCCATTTAGATGTATTTGAATCAAACCTCTCCGTATTATCAGGTGGGGTTGACTTCAGGTTATGACTTTCCATCTACCCGTAGCGAAAGGAACACCTTTCGTCCCTAAAAATTTCGTCGTTGACTTCCCACCTTACATTTTTTTCAATAAAATGCTTTTTATTTTAACGATTTTTAAAATATAATAAATAATGCTAATAGGAGAAAGCCCGTGATTTGAACACATATATTTTTTATTATCAAATACTTCGATTAACGTATATACGACATCTCCATTAGGTTGAAGCGTCCCTTTCATGATTGGCCCGCCGGAATTCCTCCTTTCCGTAAAAACCAAGAGGATAGCTTTCTCTCTCTACCCATCTCCTACCCCGTAGGCCGCTTCCCGTGCTCTCATTAGAGAAAGAAAGAAGAGAGAGAGAGAAGAGAAGAAGACAGAGGAGAGGAGAGAGAGAGAGAGGACGATTCGTCGGGCCGACAAAACAGTCGGGCCGGGCCGGGCCCGGGGCACTGTTGAGAGGCTGTTCATCCCACCGCCGCTTCGATCGCCGCGTTTTGGACCGGTCCGCCTGCCCTTTGACCGACGGCCGAGTCCGAGCTGGCGCCCGCGATTCGCTCGCAGAGAGGAGAAAGGAAGGACGGCATTCCGGTGCTCCCTCGGATCTTGGATCTAAAACTGCTCCAGCAATCCCACGCGGCCACGCTACCGTCCAAATTTGATTTGACGGCTAGGATCGTATCAGTCTCCGCAGTACGCGGCCTCGCCGGTTTGGCCTCCGTCTCTCTCTGAGGTCAGTCAAGCCTCGAGAGCGGTCACATTCAAAGTGCAGAGGGAGGATACATAATTTGACTGAAATACCCTTGATGTCCGACTCGGATACGAGGATCCTAAAATACAATATTACCCCCAAATATGGGTGGCTGCTTCTCCTTGTCGGTAGCCCAAACGAGGGTACGACCGTACTTGACGCAAATGACTTTCTCGTAATTTTGAGAGGTTAGAAGGGGTTTTCGGGGGAATTCGGGTCACGTGAAAAACTTGGATAGGATTTTACAAGGGAAAATTATATAATATTTTATTCGGTAAAAATGGGGAGGCGATATCATGGGGGCAAGGGGTGGAAATGGCGGAGAGGAGAGAGAGGAGGGGTGAGGGAGGGTGGTAAGGGAGGTTGGAAAGGAGGGGGAGGTGGCGTGCGCTGTGTTCCCTCATGGCCTCGCTGCCGGTGGGATCTCATCATCCACCGGAGCCGCAGCCGCAGCCGCAGCCGCAGCCGCTACAGCATCAGCAGCAGCCGCAGCAGCAGCAGCCATCCCACGAGGCGTTGGTGAAGATCGCGCATCGCCGGCCGGAGATGGGAGAGGAGAAGGTACCTTGACCCCGTTTACCCTGCGTATTGTCCCCGCAGTCAGTTGTTTTGGTTTCGCTAGTCTTGTGTTTTTGCTATTCGGTCGGTGTTTGCGAGATCTGCGGTTTTTAGGTTGTTGCGGAATAGATCCCTGCGGTTCTCGTACCGTTGAACGTTGTCATCCCGTCCTTCGCTACCGCCGTTGTGAATGATATTGCGGCATTGTTGGATCTCTTCTAGCTGATCGGGTTTCTGCCGGTAATTCTTGGGCATCATCCTGTACTATTTTTGAAGCTTATCGAAGCATATGTGGTCCACACACGCAGTCGTTTTGTATTTTTTTCTTAGACATATTATCGAATTTTCTATTTGTTGTTTTTATATGCCTAACGGGTTTTTATACGTCAATGATAGCCGGGAGTCTTTGTTCCTCTATCGGAGACTCCTGTTTCTCAATCCCCTTCCTTCTGGATCAATATTTCCATTATTTTTACGGTGTTTGGTTCATGTCTTTTAACTCGGATTTTCATTTGAAGAAGAGCGTTCTTTTTTATGGACTTCCTGGCACATTATTCACCGTTTCTTCATCGTATTCCTAGCGGCTATGAATTTGTGGCTGGTATTTTTGATCAGGTTACATTTGGATTTTCCTTAAATTTAATATATTTTCCTGTATTGGACCCCCCTTCTTGCCTTTATTTTGCTTTCCTGCGAATCTTTTCTGGTATACTAGCCTTCATTGATCGTACACAGTTGGTCCCGCTCTACAGTATTCTCACTGTGTTGTGCTCATCTCTACCCTCACGTATGGTGATCTGCAATCATTGACGCTTTTTTGGTAACTGGCTTACCTTGGCTTTTTTTGCTGCTTCTATTCCGTAGATTCTATTTTCAATGCTGTCATCATCATTATCATCTCTCTCTCTCTCTCTCTTGCTAATTTTACTAGGATTCTTTTATGAAAGTTGGTCGATTTCACTGGAATCTTGTATCTAAAAATGCTTTACTTTGTCTTGAATTTGTATTCGGATTGCTGTCGTTTTTCCTCATCTTGTATTTCTGATTGCTATTCGAATTAGATGCAAATGCTTGAACTTTATCGTTGAATACTTGTTGCAGGAAGCCACCGTTGTTGAGGGGAATGATCCAGTAACTGGCCACATTATATCAACCACCATAGGAGGAAAAAATGGTGAACCCAAAAGAGTAAGGACTGATATCAGAACAAATTTTTTGTGCTTGTTTTCTATCGACATCTTCAGTATGCTAATTGTAATGGGATATGGATGAATCTCTTTTCTTATTGATGTTGGCGTTGACCTTATTTTTTATTCAGCTTTTTGTACGAAAAACCTTTCCACCCAAAGCACGCTTTATGCTTAAGGGTTTTATATGGGGTATACCTATATTGAATTGTGTGCTACCTCTTAGCTTCTGATTTCACATAGGCAATCTGGATTTCAATGTTTTTGTTTCTCATTTATTTTTTCATGTGCAATCATGATTTCTTGCTTTCATTTCAAAAATTTAAGAACATTTTAAAATCACTATCTTTTCCTTCTGTGTACGACATGATAGCCTTGCTGGTCGTCCCATATTTTCTGTCATTAGATGATAAGATTTTTGAACAAATTTGCAACCTTCATTTTCCTATCCAGGAAAACAATAATTATTTTCTTCATCATGTACGTTCAGAATCCTGAAAGATATCAGAACCTTTAGGAAATCGCAATTGGGATCTTTTCTGTTGTGATTTATAGCATGACAATGTTGCACTTCTGCTTTACTTGCAGACTATCAGTTACATGGCTGAGCGAGTTGTCGGAACCGGGTCATTTGGCATTGTCTTTCAGGTTAATCTCGATTTTTTTTCACCTTTTGCTCAATTAGAATGCGTCACTTTCTACCAAGCTTATTTTGTCTGTATCATGCAGGCAAAATGCCTTGAGACTGGAGAAACAGTCGCCATCAAGAAAGTATTGCAGGACAGACGATACAAGAATCGTGAGCTGCAACTCATGCGATCAATGGATCATCCTAATGTGATATCTTTAAAACACTGTTTCTTCTCAACGACCAGTAGAGATGAGCTCTTTCTCAATTTGGTAATGGAATATGTTCCTGAAACTGTATATCGAGTATTGAAGCATTATAGTAACATCAACCAAAGGATGCCGCTTATTTATGTGAAACTCTACACTTACCAGGTATATAATGTTAGGGTCTCTTTGCCCTGTATTTGGTACAGTACTGTCTCGTGATCCTTTAATAACCAGGTTGATGTGTGTAGTGGGTGCATATTGTAGCCAGGCTCAAATCTGTAATATCTTCTCGTGCAGATTTTTAGGGGATTAGCTTATATGCACACCAATCAAGGTGTCTGTCACCGCGACGTGAAACCACAGAATCTCCTGGTATTTCTCTTAAAATGAATGTATTTCATGACGTTTATGAGAATAGCCTTTTTTTAATTTTTTATTTTACTGTTCTGTAGTGATGTTTTTGTTTTTTTTTCGTTTCGTGTGACTCCCTGTGCAGGTTGACCCTCTTACCCACCAAGTAAAGCTATGTGACTTTGGTAGTGCCAAAATTTTGGTACGTATTTTTGTTTATTTCTGATCATCTGGTAACTTTTTTGTAGTATTATTTGCATGAAAAAGTCTTTGGTTGATAGATGCTAACACAGTTCCTAATTATATTTCGCTTTGTTGTTGCTTTGAATCTGTTTTCATAATAGACAAGGAAAGAGAGTAAAAGTAAGAAATCAAAAACCGTAGATTGTGGCCAGTGAAAATGATTTAACCTGTTGGTCTGGTACATGCTAGGAGTTGTTGGTCCTAAATAGTAGCATTTTCTTGCTCTCGAATTTCCATGTAAATGCTGCTAGAATTAATTCCTCATGGCTTACTTGCACTTTTTTCTTAACCCTTGACTGGTTCATCAACGGACCAGTGATCTGCCATGGCCCACACGTCAATGGTCCTCATCCAAAATCTCTCACCACCAGAAGATTTTCCATACTAGGTATCAGATGTGTGATTGTTGTGGCAAGACCCAATATTGTTGTGCACTCTGGTGCCAACTCTCGTCTCCTTGAGTTACCAGTAGCATATGAAATGTGAAAAACTTTGTTTCGTGAAAGGATTTGCTCTTAATATCTCGGCATGCCATACTCACTGTCAATGTGGGTATAATACTCTCATTGAAGACCTTAACAACAATTTTCGAAGGGGAATCGTTGCGATTGGGCATTTTTACTATTTATGCAAAGATAACACATTTCGTTACCTTGCTCATATGTTCTTGCATGCGCATGTATTATATACATATACATATACATATACATATAAATGGGTGTATATGCATGTGTAGCTGGCTGAAAGTAGATCAGATTAGTATGGCTTCCGTTTTATATTTAGCTATTTATGTAATTATTCTTTATTCGATTTTTGTATGTCGGTTGCGTTACCTTCAATTATGTGTAATTAGGTTAAAGGTGAAGCGAATATATCATACATATGCTCTCGGTACTATCGCGCCCCGGAGCTTATATTCGGCGCAACGGAGTACACCACGTCGATCGATATATGGTCGGCGGGCTGTGTTCTCGCTGAGCTACTCCTTGGTCAGGTGAGAATCCCGCACCTTTTTTGTCTTTGCCCATTTGAACAGGAATCCAGCGCGACGCAGATTCTGACCTTCACTTCGCTTCTGACCATTCTGATGATATACGTAGCCATTGTTTCCTGGGGAAAGTGCCGTTGACCAGCTCGTTGAAATAATCAAGGTAACCATCATGCATCCCGCGCCTCACCTCCCCCGTGGAATCCGGCAAGTCTTTCCTTTACTCAGCTGTGAGTTCTCCCCGCAGGTCCTCGGTACCCCAACACGTGAAGAGATTCGATGCATGAATCCTAACTACACCGAGTTCAGGTTTCCGCAAATAAAAGCTCATCCATGGCACAAGGTACCTTTTTTTTTTTTCTTTTTTTTTTGTTTGAGCCTGTTGGGCCGGGGAGCTCTCGAGATCTTCACATCATTCTCTACCTCTACTTAGCTAAAAATGTATGGCGATTGTAATTCTATTGCGCCTCCGGTTGCTGCAGGTCTTCCATAAACGGATGCCGCCAGAAGCCATAGATCTCACGTCGAGGCTGCTGCAGTACTCTCCGAGCCTTCGTTGCACGGCGGTGAGTTTCCTCTTCTCTCGAGCTACTGTGAGCTGAGCAAGTCTGCCTTGGTGTGAGTCAACGCCCGGGATTCTTTAGCCTGAGAGGAATTATCATAATTACATTAATAGGTATAATTTGTGGATAATAGGTAAATGGTTTAAATCTATGTGGCTTTTTCTGGGGTGGATGAATTATTTGGTTTTTAATTATTTGTAAAAAAAATTAATGGTGGGGTTGGTGGTTTCTGGTGGTTTCTGGTGGTTTCTGGTGTGTTGTTGCAGCTGGAGGCGTGCGCCCACCCCTTCTTCGACGAGCTGAGAGAGCCGAATGCGAGGCTGCCAAATGGCCGTCCGCTGCCGCCGCTGTTCAACTTCAAGCAGGAAGTAAGTTGGGTGATCTTCTTGCATTGATGCTTGCCGGTTTTAGTTAGTTGCCTGTCGAGTTCGTGGATGTTTGGGATCGTGGTTATTTATCAACTTCAGGCCATAGAAACTGGTTCTTTAGATGCTTTCCGGTCAGTAGGGGAGAAAAAAATCTTCTTGGTCTGCTCTCTCTCTTTCATTTAAACCGGGACACTTTCTCTCTCTTCTGGGTCTTCTCTCTCTCTCTCTTTCATCTGTTGGGGACACCTATCTATCTCATCTCTCTTCAGGGTCTTCTCTCTCCCCTCTCTCCCTCTCACATCTGAATGGGCGCGCACTATCTCTATTCTGGGTTCTCAGCACACTTTCTCTCTCGTCTGGCTCTCTCTCTCTCTTTCATCTGAATGGGCGCGCCCGCCCATCTATCTCTCTTAAGGGTCTTCTCTCCTCCCTCTCTCTCTCTCACACACATCTGAATGGGCGCACCTATCTGTCTCTCTTCTGGGTTCCTCAGTACATTTCTCTCTCTTCTGTCTCTCTCTCTCTCTCTCTCATCGTCATTACACTCTTTTTGGACTAGTGCTATCTGTCACGGTCGGCACTGTTTTCTGGGTCCGCAGCGATTTTCGAGATCTTATCGATCATTTCGGAATAGAAGAATTTCTGTGTCGACCCTCTCTCTCTCTCTCTCTCTCTCTATCTCTCTATCTCTCTCTCTATCTTTCTCGGCATTCACCCTCTTCTGTTCTACAAATCTTGCAGCTGTCAGGTGCGTCGCCGGAGCTGGTCTCCAAGCTGATCCCCGAGCACGTGCGACGCCAATCCGGCGCCACTTTCTCTCACCTGGCCGGCACGTGAGACGCCCACAGACACCCCCGTTTTCTCTCTCTATCTCTCTCTTCCTCTCCAGTCGGGATTCTCGAGGAAGCCGCCACACAAGGCGCCCCCACAAGCTGCGTCTTTTGGGCTCACGGAAGCCCCCACTCCCCGAGTCCTTGGGGGCGCCCACTCCGGCGAACATACATCTCTCTACCCGTGTGTATATCTCTCTCTCTCTCTCTCTCTCTCTACGACGAATCGATTATGGGCGGGCGATGCCATGTGAATGGGGGAGGGGGAGAAGCGATGGCTGCCCTCGCGGGGGGTTCTTCCTCAAGTTATTCATTTAGCTTTTGGCAAAAGCTTCGTACAAATTTAGAGAGAGATAGAGAGGAATGCGTTTAGTAATTCTATTCAGATTGATGTAACCGTACACATATATACATACGTACATGCACACATACACACATACATACATACATACATACATACATGAGATTAAACAAGAAGACTGACGCATCCACACAAACTAGGCGACTAACTAATATGCAAAAGAGAAAGTCGCAATAAAGAATAAAAAGTCGGAAGAATGTTCTAAATTGTCGAATAAATTTCATATAACAAAGCCTTAATTTCTCCAAACGAAAAAGAAAGAAAAAGAAAAAAAAGGAGGGCACATTGGCATGAGCCGTGTCTTGCACTTCGTCTCTCCCGTTGAAAGGAGCTCTGCAGATTTTATCCATACCGTACACGCGTCTGAATCGCTGGTTGACCATCTGGTTGACCGTAAACTCGTCCCCTAACTGGAGAAATCCTATTTTGCTTCTTTTTTCTCCTTCTTCTTAAATGCACGAGCATGGATACCACCGCAGTGAGGACCACAGATTCTACAACATACAGGTGAGTACCCCTCAATGGAGGGTAACGGAGGTGGTGGCGCCGCCTCCGCCCGTCGGTGGAAGATGGTCACCCTAGAGAAGCGGGGACGAGTGTACCTCCTCACCCTCACCGGCGACGGCGAGCACCGCCTCAACCCCGCGCTCATCGGCGACCTCCACTCCGCCCTCTCCCAAATCCGCGCCGAGGCCTCCGCCACCGGCGGTGTCGGCGGCGCCGCCCTCGTCATCGCCGCCGAGGGGAGGTTCTTCTCCAACGGGTTTGACCTCAAATGGGCGAGTGAGCAGTCGCCCGATTCTCACCGCCGCTCCAGGCTCATGAGCTCCGCCTTCTTTCGCACGCTGGCGGCGCTGATCTCCCTGCCGATGCCCACCGTCGCCGCCGTCACTGGCCACGCCGCCGCCGCTGGGTTCTTCCTGGTTCTTGCCCACGACTACGCCTTGATGAGGGCCGATCGAGGGTTTCTCTACATGAGCGAGGTCGATCGGGGACTCCCCATCATCGACGCGGTCATGTCGCTGGCGCGGGCCAAGATGGCCCCCAGGGCCCGCAGGGAGGCCCTCCTCGGCGGCGCAAAGCTCACGGCGGCGGCGGCGGCGGAGAGGGGGATCGTGGACGGCGTGTGCGGGGGGGCCGCCGAGACCGTGGCGGCGGCGGTGCGGCTGGGGGAGGAGCTGGCGGGGCTGACCTGGGACGGCCCCTCGTACGCCGCCGCCAGGATCGCGGTGTTCCCGGAGTTCGCCAAGATCGTCGAGCTGGCGGCTGAGGAGGACCCCAAGTCAAAGCTCTGACGGAAGCACCTTTTAATGGCTTTCGAATTCATCATCCTTTCCATGTATGGTTTGAATCAGGTGAGAATTAGGGTTTAATGTATTCAAGAGTGAGTGAGAGATCCCACTGATTCGGATTTGCTCCATGAATCTAGGAAGTAACGAGAATTCCCTCGATCTCTCTAGATTATCTTTCTGAATCCCAAGATCCACGATCTGAATCAAATCTTTGAACACAGTAAGCATGGTGTTTCCACAATTGGAATCATCCTCATTTTACAGGGAAAGAGTGGGATCAAGATGCGTTGAACGATCTGTTCAGGAGCTCCACCAGTTCACCCTTCTTCAGCTTTGAGTAGCCTCTGATCCCTCTGGACCTTGCGAGCTCCTTCAGCTCAGAGAGCCTCAGTCCATCGATCTCCTGCGTTTCCTCTGCGAGCCCTTCATCGGTCAACTGGGCGGCGGTGGTGCTTCCCCTGGGTGGCGATGGTGCCGGTATCGGTGACCGCCTGACAAAATTTGACGGAGACCTCGACGGCTTGAAGTCGTCGGAGGATGGAGGGTCCTCCGATCTTTCGTTGCTTTTCAAGGTAGATTTATGTTTGGATAGTTCTTGATCCCCTGAATGGCTCGATTTTCTTCCTGCGGGGATGCCGAAGCTGGAATCAAAGTCAACGCACAAGGCCATCCGGAAACAGGAAAAAAAGTCTAGCCAATTCTCCCCCCCTCCCCTCCCCTCCCGTGAAAAGAACTTCGAGCGAAACCCAATGTGTTCATACGTGAAAAAGTCAAAATTCCACCAGAGATTCAGAGATCAGGTATAGAATTAGTCAGCGGATGACGTTGAATTCCAAAAAAAATAAATCAAAGCAGTACCCTTTCTTGATTCAATACATTTGTTGGGTCAACGTTTCTAAATTGAGCAATGGAACGGCCATATACTATAAGATGGAAGGGGAGAACTTTCTGTGGAAAAAAAATCGGCTGCTTTGTCCGGATAATATGCTAGAAATATGTTTATGATGAACATTTTTATCTACCATCGCTTCAACAGTGTTTAATGTATGTTTCCATTGGATGAGTAGACCATTTTGATGCGATTTACAGATGATAAACCCACACGGAGTAATTTCTCGATATACAAAGTAAAGCGTTAGTCTGATAACCACGAGAAGATGACCAAAAGAAAGTCAACAGGTGCTGCATACCTCTTGGCTGCTTCCTAACAGAACCCTGGCCTTGAGATTCTGGGACTGTTTTGGCTGGTTGACGTTTCTCTGTTTTTCTCTCTCTTCCTTTCTTTCTCCCGACGGGTTCTCCTTCGGAGACGGACAGCTGAATCCTTTTGAGCAGCTCGAGTATTTCTCCCTGTCTAGATGACCCAGAGGATTCTCCACCGGATTGCTGGGGTTCCTTCGATCCTTTTTCTCCCTCCGCTTGTTCATTTGGTGCAGGCTTCCTCTGGGAACCGCCCTTCCCGTTTCCTTCCTGTTTGATGCAACGCACTGGAAACTGGAGCGGCCTCCTCGGGAAAGAAGCAGTTAGAACCCTAACCGCAGCATCTGCCAAGTTCAATAAGCTGCATCAAAAAATGACTACTCAGCTTTTAATGAATCTAGCCCGACCACAACAGGTGTGTGGAGCAGAAAACTGGCCTGGCTTGCTGTGATCGTTAGATTTTCATGAGAACTTTTCCGCATGGGTGCTGAATCTTTCTCCGGATTAGTTTTGATCTATCAGGTTTACTCTGTTTATCAAGAAACTAATTCTACAAATCACAGAGGAGACAGTACATGGGAATCCATGAACTGAAGCACCATGTACCAGTCGGCTCCCCAAATCAAAGCTTCAAAAAGGGAAAATGGCATAAATTTTCGTCTGTTGATATCGCTCAAATATACAAATGCATATAGATTATTTGTATACGGAAAAATATTTAAAAAATTCTGATCTGGTACCCGTGGGATGCCCGATCCTGGAAATTAAATTATATTTTAGGAGTTTAAACTTCTTTGCTGTGTATACATCCTGCCTCTTTGTGGCATAAATTGGATCACAATATCGTCAAAATTGATGGTCCTGGGTCTGTGACTCGAAAGTTTTTGTATCATTGGCTTCCCCAAAACAATGCGGTTCTAAACTTAATGATGAACATCGGACCTGGATCCATGGTTAGGGTATCATACCTACTCTGCATCATATGAAGACTGCGAAGGTGCAGAAACTAGGTTAGGATTATATAGAAGCTGAATACTATAAATAAATCCGACAGATTCGAATCTAAATATTGCATGTCTATACTCGAAGTTTTTAAAAAATATCTCCAGTTAATCCTAAAAGCAAACTAGAAAACAGAATCGTAGAAAAAGAGGAACCGCCAGGTATGAATTGCAGAAATCTGGAAAAGTGTGCCTGAATCAAATTTTGATCCCATACTTCCAAGTTTCCACTATCATTAAGTAACTGATGAATCAGCATTCCTCAGGAAAAATCTAAGATAAAGTCGCATACCAAAGTAGGACCACAATCTCTCTGCCTACACGAGTCGACGTCATTTTCACTCAGCCCCAATCAATTCCCACACTCTCGAAATCTGGACAATGCAACGCACAAACTCCTAATCGCCGCAAATCGCCATTGGAGACGCTTCATACCTCCGCTTTCCTCCAAAGAGAGGGAGAGGGAGAGGGAGAGGGAGCCATCGACAACCTCCTCGTCGAAAATTATCCGACGTATCGCCAAAAATCTCGCGCCAGCATCCAGGCACATTCGAGTCGGTAATTATGCGAAGAAAACAGGTCCACCTCAGGAAGGTATTTGCGCCACGATTAACGCCCAAAGGAAATCAGTCCAAGAAGACGGTGATCACCATTATACGTGAGGCATGACCTACCAGGAGCGCGGGGGGAGGCCACGAGGAAGCCAGCAGCGGGCGGCCGGAGCTCCGAGAGAACGGCTTCCATCGGCGACGGAATAGATCTAGTGAGAGAGAGAGTGAGAAGGGGAGGGGGGGAGAGGGAGACCAGAAATTCGTTACTTAATTGTCCAAAATACCTCTACCGGTGATGATGAACTACATAAATATCAGGATTTGTTGACTCCAGTGGGCTCGCGATCTGGGCCGTGGACCTCGAGAAGACGTTCTATTAGTCAACCTCTCCCAGTCTCTGTACGCCGTTTGTAGATTTCCATTTTAATCGTTAGTAGTCTGGAGAAATGATAATACTAACCCAACATTTTTATTATTTCATTCTCATCCTTTCTCTGGCTCCCTGTCTGTCTCCATGTTGTTGAGAGGCAGTGCGAATTTACATTTCAACCCTCTATAATCCGAAAATATTTTATACTATCCCAATATTTTTCAGATCTCATATCATTTATCAACTCATCTCCTCTGTTTCTCTCTCTTCCCGCTGTATCCGGGTTGTTAGGTGCAGTGAGAATTTACATTTCAATCCTTTATAATCCGAAAATATTTTTTATTATCCCAATATTTTTCAGATTTATATCCATCTATCAAATCATCTTTCTCTCCCTGTCTGTCCCCATGTTGTTGAGACGTAGTGAGAATTTACATTTCAACCCTTTATAAGTGAAAATATTTATATTATCCCTATAGTTTTCAGATTTCATATCCATCTATCTAATCAGCTTCTCTCTCTCTCTTGGAAACACGCTTCTAAAAATAACCCACTCTGTGAATCTACCCGGATATTTATTTCTCAATAAATTACAGAATTAATCGCAGAAGCTCAAATAAACGAAAAATCAAACATTTCGTGAACCAAAAAATATGAAAATTCTGGGTTTTCTGTTCTCGATTGCAGAAAGTTCTTCATCCGGATGATCGCTCTGCAGAACCCGTGAAGAGCGCAAACGGAGCTTCTCTCTCTCTCTCTCTCTCTCTCATCTGACGGCACAGGCGACGGCGTGTGCCCAAACCTTGAGGTGCTCCCGGACGGCGTAGTCCTCTCCGACGGGCGGCTGACCAGTCACCGCCGTCAACCCGTACAGTCTCACCGTCCGATGGAGGCTGGAGACAATGGAGCCCGGCGACCCGCGGAGGGCGTAACCCGAGACGGTAATCCCACCGGAGCCCTCTCTTTCTTCCTCCCTACGGTGCTTCTTCAGCCAGCTCTTCCGCGTCGCCAATGGCGCCAGAGTCTGGTTCTCCGCCGCCGGCGTAGTAAGCCCACTGGAGCCCTCTCCTCCCTCCTCCTCCCAGCGGTGCTTCTTCAGCCCGCTCTTCCACGTCGCCAACGGCGACGGAGTCTGGTTCTCCGCCGCCGGAAGCACTCCCACCGCCGGCGGTTCTTCCTGCGGGGTGGGAGAGGAGGTGAGAGGGAGGGGGGAGAAGAGATTGGAGAAGAACCAGAGAGCCTCCAAGCTCTGTAACATCCTCTGGTCGTCGTCGGCGTCGTCCATGTAAGGGCGGCGGAGGACAGGGGAGGAGCGGACTACTACCACTGGCGGCGCATCAGTGCAAGGGCCATTTTAGAATCTTTGTCCTGGGTTCCCTTTTGCCAACGGTTATTTTGGAACGTGCCTCCAAGGTAGCTCACGTGACTCTCGGCGGTGGGAGGCGGCACGTGACTCCCTCCTACCTTCTTGGTATTTATTTCTCCAGACATTGCGGTTGCGTATATTTCCTTCTCTAAAATAAATAAAAATAACGATTTTCCATATTTATATTAATTATTATCCAGTCTAAGGAGTTTATATATTTTCTTCGCATGCTGAGAACTACTGAAAAATCGGAAACTATATACGTGGAAATGAATAAATAAACTCAGAGTTATAATTCTACCTTAAATTTATTAGTCGGATAATTCTTTAGATGCATTCACAATAATATATAACCGTACATAGTGTAATTATTAAAACTTATGAAAATCATTAGAAGCAGTGGGGGACTGGGCAAATGCCTACTCTGTTGGACGCACGAGAGAGAGAGAGAGAGGGAGAGAGAGAGAGAGAGAGAGATGCCTAGAACTCTCGTTGGGGACAACTACTTTCCATCCATCCACAAGCCTGAGTCAACTCCTGAAAGTCAAGTCTTCTGCCTGATGCAGCGGTCGTCGTCTTCATTCTCAGGAACTGGGGAGCAGCAGGTCCCTCCAGAAGAAAGCCGCCGGACCCTGAAGTCAAAGGGAGCAGCAGATCCACCAAGCACAAAGGCGGTTTTTTTTGTTGTTTTTACCATGAAATAATCTCTGCTCGAGAAGCAATCACAACCCAGAAGTCCAACATCAATCTACCCTAATCTAGGAACAAGTTCAGGGGTGGGGAGGGCATCAAGAGAGAGAGAGAGAGAGAGAGAGAGAGAGAGAAATTGAGTCCGAATTCAGGCCAAAAAAAGGATAAAATTCGAGACCGTCTGCCCTAATTAGAGCAGCAGCCGGGCCTCTTCATGGCGGAGACATCGTCCTTGATGTTGATCTTCTCCCCCTTGCCAGGCGCCGAGGCAGCGGCGGCAGCATCATCGCCCGTCTCCACCGCCTTCTTGCTCACGATACGGTAGATCTGGGTGAGCACCTCTGCAAAGGCTGATTCCACATTGGTGGCCTCCAGAGCGGAGGTCTCCATGAAGTAGAGCGACTCCTTCTCGGCGAATTCTCGGCCGTCGTCAGTGGGGATGGCGACCAGATGGCGCAGGTCCGACTTGTTGCCGATGAGCATTACGACAATGTTGGGGTCTGTGTGGTCTCTCAGCTCCTTCAGCCACCGCTCCACATTCTCGAAGGTCGTTCTCCGGGTCACGTCGTAGACCAGCAGCGCCCCCACGGCGCCCCGGTAGTACGCGCTGGTTATCGCCCTGTACCTGCACTCGGGAGACAACAGCAGGAGGAAGGAGGGATTTAGGGTTTCTCAGTCCCCTGTAAGCCATCGCCGATCGTTCGTGGTAATCCAGACAAATGGGTACCCATGATTTCTGATTTTCATTCCCAGACTTTGGTTCTAATTCATGAATAAATCATCAAAAACAATAATTCAGCAAACTCATCATGTGAAAAATAACTTTTCATCAGCTTCCCTGCTACAGAGAGTTTCACTTCCTGATCGATCTATTGAGCATACACACGATCGATTCACCAGCTTATGCCTACTAATATGGATTTTCTCAGTGAGGCTGGCGCCTGGTCAGGATGATTCCAAAGGTGATCCAGCAAGCCCATCACACAGGATGAAGAACAGTCTAAAATAATCCAAAAAATAAACAGTCTAAAATAATCAAAAAATAAACAGTCTAAAATAATCAAAAAATAAACTTGATTTCAGCGCTAGGAGAATTTGAAGGAAGGGGGGAGAGTATGGAGAAGACAGGCTAGGGATTCAGGAGAAGAGCTTTTCTTCAAAATTTCCCATCATTAATGCCATGAATTTATCCCTCCTAGGGACGAATGAACCAAGTCACTCTGATGTTTTGAAATCTCTATTCTGTGATTCGTTTCTACGCCAAGAAAATAAAATCAGATTTGGTTTTGATCGTAAGAACATCATTCAATAGAAGTGAAAACAAGGTTACGAAAAGAAGAATGAACAGAGGTAGAAACGGAAAGAACAGCTGAATGATTTTGATTTCCCCACCCCGACGAACACCTCTGAGGTAGAATCTGCGAGTATGGACTAAGCAGTGTGTCGCGGCACTTTCAATGGTAAGACAATTATGGATCCAGGGATGTCGTGACACGGCATGCAACAGATCGGCCACGGTGTTCAAGAAATCACCAATCTAGGGTTCTAACGCGGAGATCTAAGAGGGAATGATCGAGAATTGAGGCATGGGGATAGAGAAGCAAGCACGAAAGAGACAGCAAGACTCTGGATCTGAGGCAACAGAAATATGTCGGCAGATCAAGTCGGTCAAGATCCAAACAAGCTCGATGCCCTGGAAAACTCAACTCACCGATGCTATCCATCTCGCTCTGTGACAAGCAGTTGGACGAGGAAGAGGGGAAACAACAAATCACGAACAGAAACAGGGAAATGGGGACCTCGGGAACCGAGAACGAGGCATCCGCCGCCGCATATTTACCTCTCCTGGCCGGCCGTGTCCCAAATCTGGGCCTTAATGACCTTGCCGTCGACGTTGAGGCTGCGGGTGGCGAACTCCACCCCGATGGTGGACTTGGACTCGAGGTTGAACTCGTTCCTGGTGAATCTCGAGAGCAGGTTCGACTTCCCCACGCCGGAATCCCCGATCAGCACCACCTTGAACAAATAGTCGTAGTCGTCCTCCGCCCTGTACCCTGCCATATCTCCCCCTCCTCCTCCTCCTCCTCCTCCTCCTCCTCTCTACCCGACTCTGCCACCCTCACGGCAGAGCAAGAAGGGCCACAAGCAGCAAGCAGCTGTGGCGGCGGCGCTCGGAAGATCCGGCGGAGGAGAAGGAGAAGGAGAGCAGAAGAAGCGCCTTCCGAAGCAAGCGAGAAGAGCGGCGCAGATCAGGGGGCGGCAGGGGTCCTTGCGCCGTGCGATGGCCAGCGGGCGGCTGAGCTTCGCCTCCAGGGAATGATCTGACTGCGGCGGAGATCTGACGGCGAGCAGCTGCCGGTTCTTTCCTCTCCTGCTCCTGCGTACTGCTTTGCCGCTGGTTAATCGCTGAGGGAGGGAGACCGCCCATGGACTTTTCGGTCAATCTTCCTGGATTCCATCTTCCTGGGGAAATCAGTCAGAACGAAGAGGCGGTACGAAGCGGAGGGGTTTGCTTTGATTTTGCGTGCTAGTCGACAAATTCTGTGAGAGTCTTTCTCCTACGCGTTTCTGGTCTAGTGCATGTCAAAACGTAGGGGATGTGAACTGGGAAGCGTCTAGGATCAGAGACAGTTGGTCTGTCCGATCCGGGGAGAGAGTAAAAGCCCCTGAATTGGGAATAATTACCAAAATGTCCATTCATTGCTTGCCAGCGTGGAGCGCGCCGGAACCGGTTAGACGGAAAAGCAGGCCCGCGTGCTCAGGCGGCCGTGGAAGGCATGTGGAGTCTGGGGTTGCTCAGTTCCTCCTGTGGGCCCACAAAAAAAACAGGGGGTACTTGTTGCAAATTCGTCAGTAGCGAAGCTTAATATCGAAATGTGGACCCCACTTATTTTATTAAAATGGCTTAAAACTTTATTAAAAAAAATCCGTATATATAATATAAATTTTGAAAGCTACCTGGGTCCCACACTCGGGTCGCCACGTCAGCTCGTCGTGGACCATGAGGCGGGGCCTGCTAGTCTTTAAACTTAAGTCGGTGATCGGGGGATTCGGTCTGATGGGAAGATTATTAATTGAATCATGCCGCCGATGATGTGGAGAAGACCATTCGGGCTGATCCGATCTGATGATTTATTTTAGTAGTGTTTTTTAATGATGTGGACCGTCCGATTGAGGGCATCAGGATAAGCTAAATTCTGCCGGAGGATTAGTATTAAATTTGCAGTATATTTCATCCAAACGAATTTTTGAAAGAAATTGTCTACTGTGGGTCCCACTCGGACGGCCACGTCAGCTCGGTCGTGGATCCACAAAAGTTTGAAATCAGTAGCTGAACGAGGGATTCAATCTGACCCATTCGATCAGATCCGAGGTCTGGACCGTCCGATCTTAGGAACTGGATAAGCTAAAATCCGCCGGAGGATTAGAATCAGAAGTTGGCGGCTGCCATCTCTCGCCATGCGAAGGGGAAGTAGTGTCACCATGGCCGCTAGGAAGGTCTCGCCATTTCGACTGGCCGCCCTCCTCCGGGAGGAGAACGATCCCGCCGCCGCCCTCCGTCTCTTCCAGAGCCCCAACTCCGGCGACGCGCCGCCATCTCCGGCGAGGCCCTTCCGCTACAGCGCGCGATGCTACGATCTCGTCGTCACCAAGCTCGGGAGGGCGAGGATGTTCAGCGAGATGGAGCAGATCCTCGATCAGATGGGAAAGGAAACGAGGTTCTGCCCCAAGGAGGTTCTCTTCTGCAACGTCATCTCCTCCTACGGCCGGGCTCGCCTGGCGTACCCCGCCGTCCGTACCTTCCTCCGGATCCCCTCCTTCCGCTGCCAGAGGACCATCCGGTCCTTCAACTCCCTTCTTCACGCGCTTCTCCACTGCAGAGATTTCGCAGCTGTTGAGGAGTTTTGCAGAGACATGGAGAGCTACGCCGTGTCGCCGGATACGTGTACTTACAATATACTGATTAATGCTTACTGCTCCGTCAGGATGCCCGACCGCGCCTGGGATCTGTTCGTCGAAATGCGGATGAGAGGGATCCAACCCAGTGCCGTCACTTTTGGCACCTTGATCTCCTTCCTCTGCTCGAATTCGATGCTGAAGCGGGCATTCGAGCTAAAAGAGGAGATGATGAGACTGCACAATGTGACACCCAACGCATTCATCTACACTTCATTAATCAAAGGCCTTTGTGGGAACGATGAACTGGACTCTGCTCTCCGCATCAAAGAGGAGATGTCGGATGAGGGGGTTCGATTGGATGCGGCAGTATACTCTACTCTGATCAAGGCTCTGTTTGAGGCGGGGAGGAAGGGAGAGGTCGTCAGTCTTCTGGAGGAGATGAGAGCAAGCAAGCTGGAGCCCGACGCGGTCTGTTACAACGCCATTATCTCCGGATTCTGCGGCGAGAACGACTTCACCGCCGCCTTTGGTGTCCTCAGTGAGATGGCGAGGAGAGGGTGCAAGCCTGATGTGGTCAGTTATAATGTAATCCTGTCGCGGTTGTGTCGACAGGGAAGATATGAAGATGCAAGGGAGCTGTTTGACGATATGCCGAGGAGAGGGTGCCTCCCCGACATTGTCTCTTATAGGATACTCTTTGATGGGCTATGTGAAAAGAGTCGGTGGAAGAAGGCGGTGGCTCTGCTCGAGGAGATGATGTTCAAAGGATATCGACCTCGTCCTGAGAGTCTGTCTAGGGTTGTCGATGGGCTGGGTGAAGCTGATGATGTTGATTCTCTGGTCTCTCTCGTAGCTGCTGCTGCCAGAGGAAATAGCACCGACTTGAGTATGTGGAATGCGTTGACTCAGAGAATTTGCAGAGAGTTTGACCAGGTGGAAGCATGTAGACTCGTGGATCATCTGAGAGTGTGAGATGGTGAGGAAGTCGACTCAGAATCCCCTTTTTTCTGACCTCAAAGGAAAAGGTATGTTAAATCTCAGATATAACTACAGAAATGAAAACCGTGCTATTGTTGAGAGACTTATCTATGTGAGAAGAGCGACTAATTTCTCGTAAGAGAGATCACAGTAATGTCCACAGAAATATCTGATCAAGTTCAAGCTGCTCCCCGTGGAGTTTGATCCGGTATATGGCAATAAAGATACGTGAGGATCATTAATTAGAAGTTAGACACTGTGATAACCTATGTGGCAATGTTCTTTGCTGAAAATGATAACCATTCTTGGAAACCCCTGTAAGAAGAATTGATCATGTGAAGACACTGGGATAACCATTCCTGTTCTAACCTTGATCATGTGAAGACACTGGGATAACCATTCCTGTTCTAACCTTGATCATGTGAAGCCTTGGGAATGAAATGGCGTTCTCAGAGAAGCCAGCTCAATTTATATTTTGTTTGTTGGCTATTATAACCAGAAAATCATAGCTAATTACCATCAGTTTTATTATGAGAACTTGACTGGATTGACATAATGATGAGTCTCAAGAACCCAAGAGCATTCTTGTTTCAATACATCCTGCAGGAGAGTCGTATCTGCTCTTCGTTCTGAAGCCTGGTCGTGGCTCAGACAAACTCCAACAAACAAAAAAACTACCAAGGGAAATAAAAGGAGGCACAGTTATTGTGCGGGAAATCATTGCCTCAAACGGGTAAGCAGTCTTTCGAAAATCTTCATTACAATCCTTACAATGGGAAAGGAGAGCAGATACAAGAAGTTGAGGACACAGGACGAAGAGGGGGAAGGTCTTCAACGCAGAGGGGATGATACTGAGGGCCTCTGTTTATTACAGCATTCAGTTTTCTCATCACTCTCAAGAATGCTGGACGGCAGAAAAATCGCAAGAGAAGAAAAAATCAATTAAAAATAATTAATGTGGTTAAGAAGATTACTCTGCAGGATGCAATCTACAGCCATCCACAACTGGTAATTTGAACCCCTCAGTTGACTATGGAGGGCTCGTGGCACATGAGAACCCTCTCTGGTTCCCTGGGCGTCTTCCGCCATATGGGTATCTGTACAATCCGGGAAGATCGGCTCAGTTTTTTATGCATCTTCAAGCTCTCTCCCATGGGGATGCCCACGTAGAACAAGGAATGTGGTGGATCATACAATTAGTCAACATGGTGCCCCGAAATGTTTTGGAAGGTATGATTCAGCTGCAACCTGCACATAATCAATATGTGTTTCAACATCACTGCCCACATGCTATTTCATCAAGATACAATTTTGGTTTTGAAAAAAGTTATTGGAAGTTGTAATCATTGTTATCGTAGATAAATTCACCAAATTTCGATTTAAGAATCAAAAGAGTAATCCTTACCGCTAATAGACAATTTCCTCTGTACTACATTTGACATCAGATCCCCTCTTCCTCAGAATCTATCTCATCAAAAATAATATATTTTGCAGCTCCGTTGGGGATGGAAGGAGCATCTTCTTCACTATCGTTTCCCAGGCCTTTCTGTTGCTTTTGGTACCTGGAAATCAGTAGCATTTCTCTTTCTTTTCAGCGTGCAAGTAATGATGAAATAACAATCCACAGACATTTTCTCGTTGAAACATCGGAGCATTCAAGCAGTTTCAGTAAGTTCGTTGGAGACAGCAGTAGATTCTGGTAAGTTCCCCACAACATGAGCATATCCAAATCATAAAACCGTAGTGTATATAATGAAAACCCATCTTTTGCTCCAGAAAGTTCCTCCTTTTGAATTGTAATTGGTTTTCTGAAGGCTAAGGCAGGAAATTATTTTTCCTAGAAAAAGGTAAAAAATTCACATGATATCACAGATGATCCGTATAGAACTATATGTACGCCGACATCATTTTTTTTTCTGGAAGATGTAGGAAAATCTGCATGATCTACACGAGAATAGACACCAAAAAACAATATTGAACACATGAATTTTCATATAAGCGAATAGAAAAATTGATAAGAGTGCGAATGCTAAAACATTTACTGTGATTGAATCATGTTGAACAGATGTAAATGGCTAATCATCATGCTGAACCCTGACTATGTAATATTTTACCAACAATAATGAGACTTAGAACATATTTTGACATGATCAGCAACAGTACAGAAAATATTTACTTGTAGATGTTGAATAATCCGACTCCAATCATGATGACCATCAGTCCAATCCCCTTCAGTAAGCTGAACTCATCGTGGAAGTAGAGCACTGCAACCTGCACAAAGAAAATGATCCATGGAAGTAAATCACTGTCTTTTGATTGCTTGGCCCTACATCATCGTAAGACAGGCTCATGGTTCAAAGTGCAGAGTTTAGAGCTTACCAAGATGGTGACAGCTTCCTTCACAACACCCGCTATCATCACCGTCACAGCGCTGGTTGCTGACACAAGTACATACTCTGTGAGCACCTGCATTCAACAAAGGAGCCCCGGACGTTGACTTTTACTGGTCCAAGTCAACGGGAGGGAAGATTTTCACACTCACCATGAAGAATGCCAGCATTCCGCCGATGAGCATCAGCAGGAGGCTTCGCATGGTGTGCCAGGTGTTGTTGAAGTATGCATTGCTGTGAAACTCCTTCCAGGGATCCATCACAAGAGAGAGCCCAGCAGTCACAATGGCCATCACTGGGGCAACGTAGCTCATTAAAGTGAGAGGGCTCTTTAGGCCTGAGGAAGGTCAAACCCACCATTCAATGGATGCCACGGAAGGAAAGGAAGAATTGTGGTGGGGCGTTGACCATTGAAGGTTTGAGCTCACCATATGCTTCTTTCTTCACCATATGCAAAAACAAGGTGACTGTCAGGTTTTCGGATCAGAGAGAAAAAAATGAGGAGGAGAAGAACGAAATTACTATCAGAATTGAGGCACCTGCAGAAGTATCTGAGTCATTGACCAGCGAAAGCCTGAGGTGACTGAAGCCAGCATGACCAGAACGAAGCCCCAGAACTCGAATTCTGTCTCCTTTGCGACTGTAATGGATTCAACAGAAAGAAGTCAACCAGTATGAACAGATAATCATATGACCACTCATTGCTGCGTACCTGTGAGAAGCACTCCGAGAGAGATGATTAAAATGATGCCCAGAAGCTTGATGCTTGGGCTCTCCAGCCTAGTGGAATGGAGCCAAATGTCACACACATCATGGATTTGATCTTCCAGAGAGAGAGAGAAAAATGGGAAGCACTCACCTGAATGCGAAAGCAAACACCAGGAGGAATATCGGAGAGGAAGATTTACACTGCAGAAAGAACCGATCAAAAGTCAGCGGTCCGGCCCCCCAAGAGCCTCGATCAAGAACATAAAGTCAACGTTTTTTCTTGTTTTGAACAGGGTCCGAGGAGTTGACCATCGTCGCGAAGGTGACGGAAATGAAGACCAGCGACACATTGCTCAGGTTGATATCGAGGGCCGTTCCCACAGCGGTGGGCACAACTGCAGAAGGAAGAGCATCGAAGGTGTTGACCACTGATGACGAACACTGAAGGTTGATGTCAACGGAATGCATTCTGAAGCAGAGGTACCTCTGATGAGATAGTCTCGCCATGACATCGTCGCCTTGCTCTCCTGCCGCCACACCACGATGTTGGATAGCACAGCTTGCAGGGAGAAGTGCACCGTGTTCATCAGCAATGGCGCCGGAAACTTGCCTAGATCGTCGCCTAACAGCGTCTTGTTGTACCTGCAGAGGTCATTCCATAAGGGGAAACTTGTTCGGACAAGACGACGACAGGGGACGGGGCAGGTCAACCAACTCACAGCGTCAGACAGGTGCTGAAGGTGTACCACACCAGAATGTAGAAGATCGTCTTGAGAACGGCGGCCTTGCCGAGCTCGCTGTCGGCTTCGAGCTTGGCTCTGGAATCGCTGTGGCTCATTCCGGCAGCTGCGCCGCCGCCATCGACGGCGAGGGCGAGGGCGGTGTACCCCTTCGGGTTGCCGCCTCCGATGCCGGTGATGGAGAAGGAGGCGTTCAGATGCATGCTCCTCTGCCTGACGGTGACCGGCGGCGCATCTTCTTCTTCCAACAGGGGGACCTCGCCGGAGCTGGCCGCCGGGGCCGAACGTGAAGACCGATCCGCCTCCTCTCCTCCCCCCGTCTCCGGCTCTCGGTAGCGGATCTCGGCCATCTTCCCAAGAGTCGCCGCCGGCGAAGAATGTCACCGGTTCCCAGAGGTGGACTTAATGTGGGCGGCGTCGCAGAATGCCCTCGTCGCTGGCCGCCGCCGCCGTGGGTCCGGTGCCGGCGGCGAGGTCAGGAGGAAGGAAAGAAGGAAGGAGGAGGGAGGTAGGTCGCCGTCGGGGGCTGGTGGCGCGTCGCTGTTCGCCGCCGGCGGTCGCCGGCGTGAGAGGCCAATGGATCGAAGAGGAAATGGCGGTGGCGCCGTAGGTGGGGAGATTGGCCTTAAGTAGGCGTGAGGGATGGTTGGTTGTCAGGATATGGGAGCCCCCTGGGTTGACCGTATACGCCGAGTCAGCGGCTCGAATAAATCGCCTGGCACGCCCACCCCTCTATGTGAAATCCCCAAACTAACCCCGACAAACTATTTTCCATACTATCTTTGCCTCGTTGGCGTAGTCTGAGGGTGACCGGGCCCAGTTGACAGCTTTGTGCTTGACTATTGACTTCTGGCGGGGCCCATACGATGGGTGTGGTGTTCCTGCAGTGCTTTACATGTTTAAACTGGTCCTGCGGGGCGTCCACGCGGGAAACTCTGATGTCTCTCGGATGGACAAAAAGCAGATGGCGCCTCCTTGCGGCTTGGCGTAGGGAAGAAGATGGAGACGGAGAGGTCGATCCCTCGGAGGCTGTGAGCTATGTAGTAGTCTTTCCTGCTTGCACCCTCCTCCCGCGTTTCTCTTTTGAGCTTCGCCGATCGAAGTCTTGCGGTGGTGGCCGGAGAGATGGGGGCAGAGGGAGCCCTAGACGTCCAGGGGAAGATCCAGGCTCTGGTCGCCGATAAGCTCCAAGTGGTGAGTTTCTCCTCTGAATTTTTGGTGCTCTCCCCCAGGTTGTTTGTGGCTCGTTAACGCTTAAATGGAGCTCTGGATGGCGGTGCCGGCTTCATACGAGCTGGGTTGGTGTGAGGAGCTTGTTTTAGTTTCGTTAATGGACGTAGTTTCCGTGCGGTGCACGAGTTTTCACCATCAATAATGTACATATTTGAAGTCCATTTTAGATCAGCCATTGCTGGGAGCTGGGATTAGCGTCAGAGGTGCGCTTCTCTGTCGGATGGGTACTTTACCCCTACGAGAGCCGTTCAATTTCGAACGGACTTTGTTCACTTCGAAAATGTGGCTCTCCGATTAATATCGCTTTGCTGATTTTCCATGGGGGTGAGAGTTCGCATATGAAGAGAAGACATTGGCTGGCTTGGGAGCTGTTCTGTTTGACAACCCGTAAGGGGAGTCCCTAGTTTTACCTTGCCCTTCATTTTCCTAGAGGCCCTTCCTCAAAGGATCATCTTGTTTTTCAAGTTCGAAGAAATAATCGCTTAATTTCTACTGTATAAACTTGTCTGTTTGTGGCTGTGCGGCTTCTACGTAGTGATGATCAGCAGGTTTCATCACACTGAACAGGTAGCTTTGTCTTCATGTTCATAATATTGAATGTCTGATAACTGGTATACACAGTCCTCAATGAAGTTCGTTTCAAGCTAGTATTTTCGATATGCATGGCTTTTGTGGAACTTCAGTTTTGTCTCATGCGAAATACTTGGTGGTGCTGACTGTCCGGGGCGATCAGTGATATCTACGTGCCTGAAGTTCTTAGTATTGATATCTCCCACCATCTTGTTCTTCCTTGGATTGTGTGCTTCGAGATGGCTCCAGGAGAATAGTTCTTTCATTGGGTTTTCTATTAAAATTGTTCAAATGTTTACCACTGTTATCTTTCTATGTATGTTGGAATAAACCAAAGGCCGTTATTAGGTTCTTATCTTCACGGGTTCCGGCGATTTTTTATTATATTGGTGTTACACTTGTGCTTCTTCTGTACAACCGAAGGCAAAGTACTTTGGATTGAGAAGTCGAAGTATTTCTTATCCATACTCTTTCCTGGTTTCAAGGAGCGGGTAGGATTTGAGATATATGTTTTTTAATGCTGAATTTTTTTAACTTTGACTCAACTTTTCAGGTTTCCTATAAGTGGCTCAGTCGAAACTTTTCAGTGTCATCAAACGATGCCAAGAGGTAGTAAACTTCTCAATTAGTGAAAAATAGACCATGCCTGCTGAAATAAAGGTCCATTTATTGATCACATTTCTTCTTATCGTTCCAGGCTACTTCAGGAGTTTGTTACCAATCATGGAAAGGGTCTTGAAGTGATTTATGCATTGTCCGGTTGGTTAAAGGAGAATCCTGATGTTTACAATATAAGGCTTGTTTCTGGCTGTAAACTTGCAGGTCTGTGTGATACATAGACGATTAGTCTTTATTAATCATTAAATTTTTTTGCGTTCTTTTCATGCTATTGAACTATACTAGATACCTGTATTTTGTTTTCATTAAGTTCCTTGGATACCTTATGGAAAGTAACTAATGGTGGCACGAACGGTACAGCAACCTCTGTTTGAACTTCTTTTAGATTACGATCCTTTTAATGGTTAACAATATTTCACCATAAGCCATATGGAGATCCATCTGTGCAGATTCTTTTGGCATTCAAGGCCAATGATTTTACGCTACGTGCAGCATATAATGCAAAGTGAAAAGATATCAGGTGCCTTCCTAGTAGGGTCCATGGCGTTCCACATTACATCCACCATGTTGGATTACATTTTTCACTTGTTTCTGCGTTACACTTTGGATCAGCACTTGCGCTCAATGGCAGTGTCAAGGTTCTCCTCAAGTGGAGAAACTTTAAATCGTTTCACAGACGAACAAGACTTGACTACCATATTTAGTTGCCTAAAATATATACTTTTTTCAATATCGAAAGTAGATAATTTCGTTATTTGATGGATTGGACTTCTTTTTCTGTTCTTTTTTTCAACACAGGTTGCCAAACACTGCCTTGTTTATTGGTCTATCCATGCCAATTCAAAAACAATTACTAGATAATTTGTATTATATATTCAAGACATCGCATTCAATTATTTTATTCAGTACATCTCTCCTTGTGATTGCTTCAATTGAAGAAAAAGAAGATCCTCATGTATGAGATAATCTTTGTCATCCTGTGATATAGTTAACAGGCACAATGTTTGTCAAATCATTAGAGGATGATTTTAGCATCATCCTGTGATTAACAGGCACAATGTTTGCCAATTTGACATTCTACTCTAGTATGAGATTTGAAATATATTACTTAAATAAAAAATATTTATTGGAGAAATGTTAGAGGGATGGCTAAAATCCTCATGTTCTTGTTTGTCCAACGTGCCATCATTTTTTCATATTGGGCTTGGCTAGAGGGATGGACTTTGTTGAGTTGTGTGAATATGTATCTTGTGCTGATTTTGTCCAGTTCATTGTTTTCGTTCTCTGATTGATGCAGAAGCTAAACAGGATCTTAGAGGGAAATGCTCAGTCCATGTTTACAGTGTTCAGGCTAGCATTCCTAAAGACCCTGCAGCTATCTGGAACACTGAATTCGTACAGGCAGAAGAACTTTTTGATCAGCCCTTAACTGTGGACAACTGTTTACGTGACAACAGGTATGCTGTGATATCCTCTTGGAAGGGGTTGCTTTTCTGGACGTTCCTAAGCTTCTAACATTTAATGGACACATTCTTCGCCTAAGTGAATCCCATGCTCGGATGCAGTGAACAGAAGAATTTTACAGTGCTTAGTTTCTGTTATGCTCCATTTACGTTGATGTGCGGCTCAATTTTTTTCCAGGTTTTGTGGAGTTTCGAACTCTTTTGTGCAGCGTAATGTCAACGGGAAGTCCATTGCTATGGAACCACCAGCGACCGAAATTAGTGCTGGAGCTGTGCCACCTAAAACTACTGCATCTTCCCCTCCCTTTGAAGCACATCAACATGGTCTATCAAAGCAACCAGACCCAATGTCTGGCATTCTGTCTCCAACCGCTGCTGTTGCTATGGAAGGCAACGATGATACTGTTAGTCCAAAAGTTCGTGCTGTGCCGGACAACCCCCCTTTGGGTAAAGTAAAAGATGATGCGTCCTTTTTTAATAAGAAGAAAGTTGCAAACGAGAAAACCAGCCATGGAGGTAATGGACGATCATTGGCCAATTTGTGGGGTCGTGCTTCTGCCAAATCAAAGCCCGAGATCCCCAAGGTTGATGCCACCAATGATATTTCAAGGGTTTCTGGTATACATCTTGGCTATCCCTTGTCTTCACTTCGTTTTTAGCAAGTTGCCTGTTGAATGCTTAAGTTGTGATTATTCCATAGATGGCATATATTGTGTGATGATGTTTAACTACTAATAGACAGGAGCAAAGTTGCAATTTTTATCATTTCCCGAAAACATTGCCTTGTTATGCATCACTTTTATGGTTGATGCAATGCAGCAGCCACTTCGGATGCCCAGATTTCTGCTCAAGAAGCACTGGAGCCTATCAGCAGTGACGACGAGTGGCAGAAGGCTAGCCAAAAGGAGTCGGGTGGTTCTATCGGCAGGAAAAGGAGGGTTGTTCTTGATTTCTCTGATGAAGAAGATGAAGCAAACGTTGTGAATCTGGCCCTGCCAGAACCTTCAAGCTGCCAGTCTGAGCTTTGCCCAAAAAAGAACACCGACCTGGAAGGTATGGGCTTTGACGGCCAGGCAGCAGAAAAGACAAGAATTCGGGAAGAAAAGGCTTCTGTTGGCGTTTCTGGATTGTCCTCAGAAGCTGAAGTTGGAAGATCCAGGAAGGTTGACATTGATGAGGCTCAAGATCTTGGTCCTGAAAAATCTTCAGACAGGAACAGGGAAGAGCAAGCAACTGATTATGTTTCTACTTCACCAAAAAGGGCGAAGGTCTTGAAGACGAGAATAGATGAACGTGGAAGAGAAGGTAAAGAAAAATAAATGTCTGGACTGAATGGCCTAATAGGGAAATAACCATTTAATTTCACAAATATCTTCACTTTTCTCGACTTATTTGGCATATAATGATAGATTACTTTAGCGTATGATTTTCTTTTTTTGCATCTTTTCTTCGTAGTTTACATGACAAGACATTCCAGTTATTTAGAAACATTTACTGAACTTCGATGTCCTACGATCCGAGTGTTTTGATCTTCAGACTCCATGAAGCATATAACGATTCAATAGTTTTGATAGCATCACCGCGTGAATTTGATTCTCTTCTAGCAAAGGAGATCTCGTCTCTCACTACCATATATGGAATCGTGTGTAAATGAGAATGTGATGAGAGTTTCCATTGATTTCAGTGACCGAGGTTGTTTGGGAGGAAGACGCTGCTGAAAAGGGGAAGGCTGCCACCACCACTGCAGCTGACAACACTTCTAGAGACAGGTATCTATGAATGGAGAAACTCTGGGAGTGATGCTCTTCTTCTTCGTATAAATCTTCCGTCATCTGTCGTTGACTTTTTTCACACTCCAAACCTCAGTAGTTGACTTTGGAGAGTGTAGATACATGCAATACATCTGTCGCTAATCTGATCTCATTTATGAACATCTCACTTCACTACTGTGAGTATAGAGAGTTGAAGTGGAGAATTCCAACTCCTTTTTTCCCAAGTAAGCATCTTTTGAGCTTGTTTACCCGGCTGGCGTTGACTTCAGGCCACCCTCAGCTGCCAAGTCATCGCCGCCTGCGCCACGACATGCCCCATCTGTACCTGCAGCCAAGGCTGGAGGTGGAAGAACAACGAAGGCAGGCGGGGCCAAGGACAATAAGCAACCCAACATCCTCTCGTTCTTCAAGAAGGCCTGAGGAGGGAGAAAGGGGGGGGGGGGGTTTGCCCAGGACAGAGCTCACCAGAACCGGTAAGCTCCATGCGTCCATATCTGGATTATTTCTCAGATTACTTGCGACTATATCCCATAATAAGCAAAAAACGTAGTTTGACTTTTAACACCGAATCTTGACTATATCCCGTAATAGGTCAACATTTTCATGGGCATAGAAGGGTTATACTCCCACGATTGTATGCTTTCATTTCATTCACTCACGCCCGTCCTGCGATCATGCTGCCTCCCTGAGCTCTGGAGTTCTAGATGATATGTTTCCTCTGTGAGTTTCTGTGCTGTGAGAGGAAGAACTCCATGAGACTTCTGAATGATGATGATATGTTTTCTCTTTGATTTGTGGGAAGTTAATGAAAGCTTGATTCCAAGTTTCTATGTGATGCTGTTTGGGCTCGGGCCCGGAAATTGTTCTTGAAGCCCGGCCCGGAAACATCATCTCAGTCAACGCTTCCCCTCCATAAGTGACAGGGCGTATTTCCAATGGTAATGAGCCGTGTTCCTTCTCTTGCAGATGTTTGACTCACGCTTCCGGAAAACAAGAGGCAAAGGGTTGTGGTGCCGAATCGAAGGCGTTGACCAATAATCATTTTGCTCCGAAGAGGGACTTGAAGAAGTCTTCTTTGCTGACCCTCCCCCCGAGTCGAAGATCTCTCCAAAAAGTTAATCGACAGCACTCAGGGATAGAAAAGGTCGACCGAAGGATGATGCGTTGACTTTGTTCGGCCTTCCTCAACTTTGTCTCATCTGGAACTTGACACTACGGGAACCCAGAGGAATTGCTTTCCGTTGACTTTGTGGGAGACCGAGAGCAGATTCCTCCGCACCCAGGCGTTGACCTATAGTTTTTTTCTGTTTGAGGAAGTGATTGTTGGAATGGATCCGACTCTGGGGGGCGATGACCCCCGTAAGCTGTAGTCGGAATACGGATTAAGCCAATTTCTTGTTGGAAAAAAGCTTTTCGTCGCCCTTCCTTCGTCCGTTGACCCTTCAAAATGGTCAGAAGATCAGCCGACAATTTATTAAGCACGTGGGTTCGGCAATCGAAAAAGCTTAGAGCTCGCGAGAGTAATCGAAGAAACTGTCCGTTCCGGAGCTCGGTTGGCACCGTATGTTGACCTGGTCAACTTTGAAGTTTATGCGTAAATATAATATTTTTGTGGTACATTTGTCAAATATGGAAACCTTGGGTATACTTGTATAAAGCGGTGACTCCTTGTCCCCACTGTATCGATGGATGGCTATATATATATACACAAGAACCATTGGCCGTAGCTTCTCTCTCTCTCTCTCTAGGTTGCCTGGTTTTGAGGAGGTGGAAATGCATGGCCTGGGAAATGGGGGTTTGCCATGGAAGCTCCCGGCTTGGGGCCGCCCCTCGCCTCGGTGGCGTTGCAAGCGCTCCGATGCCGTCGACGGCGGAGGCGGCGGAGGGAAGAGTCCCGCGCCATTCCCGTTCAAGCAGGCAGCCACCGCGGCTTCCCTTGTGCTCGCCGGCGACACCATCGCTCAGGTGAGCAGCCGGGTGAAGGCCCTCCGCGCTGCATCCGATGGATCGGACGTCCCCAGCTCCAAGGTTGTCCCTGAAACCCTGATTCCGCTCTCTGTATTTCTCATTTTGCTTACTGAGCGTGTATTTCCTTCCTCTCATTGTAGATTGTCTCGTCCGCTGTCTGGTCGAATCACGACTGGCTCCGTGCGCTCCGCATGGCCTCCTATGGGTTCTTGCTCTACGGGCCCGGCTCGTACGCCTGGTACCAGCTCTTGGATCGATCTTTGCCCGGGCAGACTTTCGTGAACTTGTCGGCGAAGGTGCCCTTTCTTTCGAAATCCTTGCACTCATTTTCCTCTCATCACGTGCTTCAGCTGACATGAATCTACATTCGCCTGGTCGCAGGTTGTATTGAACCAGATTGTCCTTGGTCCATGTGTGATTGCTGTGGTCTTTGCTTGGAATAATCTGTGGCAGGGGCAGCTGTCTCAGCTCCCAAAGAAGTATCAGAAGGATGCCCTTCCCACACTCTTCTATGGTGAGTTGACCCACCTGTCGTCCTTATGGTGTTGTGTTGTTAATCTAGTAATCTCAGCTCTTGTGTTCTTAAACTTGAAGACTCTCGCTGCAGGTTTCAGGTTTTGGATTCCTGTGAGCGTCCTCAATTTTTCGTACGTCTTCTCCCGTACTTTGTCATTCCATTATTTTTCCCCATCTTTGTTGGAGGCTACCATTCCATTGTTTGCCGATTCTTTGCTCTATATTACAATAAGCTTCAACAACTTAGCAGTTATTTTTGTGCAAAAAAAAAACGTGATAAAATCTCGAAGTGACAATTATCTTATTGTATGTGGTCGCGTGTAGATATCTGGTTGCAGGGCAACATTTGGAAAGTTAGACTCTGGTTCCTTTCTCCTGATTTATTTCTTGAAAATAGGAAGAAATTCTGGGAAAAAAAGTTGCCCAAAATTCCTAATTGGCCTCAAATGCAATTTTTGAGATCCACAATTCGCTGGGTTTTTCTGTTCTTCGGAAATGTTCAGCAGATGTGTTTATCTGAGAAAATAAAAATAAAAATAGGTAAAACCGTTGTGGGCAGCCTGATAAAATTTTCTAGTTGTTTAAATCAGTAGAATGATATTGATTAGACTACATAGGCCTTATGCGACTCGCAATAATTTTTCATTTCTAGTTTATTCATACGATCTAAATGCGGACCTTCTCCATATGGCGTAGCCTTTTCTTGTTCCAAGACCACACATCCTGGTTGAGAACTCTCCTGAACAGCAGGTCAGTGATTCGGTCAAAACGACTGCTGGCACAAATGAGATTCGTGGGTGTAATTACTAACTTGTTTAAAGTCGATGGAATGTCAACGCTTGAAATACTTGGACCCGTGGGAGTAGATTCTAGCACTGGGTTGCCATTGGTTCAACCAAAATTTACTCGCTACAGATGTCGTTGGATCTGCTCGTCTGCCTTGCGCAGTAGCTTCTGTTGCTTCTTAGAGCATCCTTATATGGTATCCCTGACCGCAGTCCACCGGTCACAGTTGAGTCGGATCATGAAGACGAGGAGCGATACAAATTCTATAACACAAGTTTCACTGGCTCACCTCATTTATGCACAATAGTTTCATGTCTTCTATCCAAAATTCTGTCATTTATCGTTCAATCATGTAAATTTTGGCTGAGTATTTTCTCCCACTGTTCTATGATTTCTACAGTTCAACATATCTCTTCAGTTCTCCTGTTCTTATCTGCTTTAACAAGAGATAACAAGTGGAGAGGCCTGCTCCGCGACCATGACAAGATGTTGCTTATTCAGAGGATAAGTGTGTTTGACAAGCTTATCTTATATAATAAACAGGTTGACGAAATCAATCTTGTCACGTGATTAAATTAATTAATCAGTTTGCCTAGCCCAAGCTCAGGCATCTTTCACGAGTTCTGGACTAAGAGGAATCCCATAAGATGGATTTCGGGCCGGGCCAGGAACTTAAGAAAACTAGGCCCAAGTTAGAGGGACCCGGTGTTGCTAATTACCCATCCCTTCAGCTGGGCGTTGCCTCGTATGAAAAACATCAGCGACTGTTTTGGGATAATATCTTATCAAGAGGTTTCACGAAAATCTTGGATTGTTATCTGGCTTTTGATTAGTCTTAAGCTCATAACGATATTTCTGATTGGTCAGAACCCTCCCTCTGGATCCAGGAAATCAAGATGATATCCTAATTTAACTCAGGAGGTATCCACATACCGCAGCATAAACTGGCAACCAAGTGGAAAATTTCGGCATAGGGCGTTGACATTTCATTGTTTTCATTGTCACAGAGGCATGGAGGGCCTTATGGGTCATGAACCAGAATGTTGTTTACAAATAGAACGATGCTCCTGCTAGGAGTGATCTAATATTTCTAATGTCTTATGACTAACATCGTCCTAATTAGAAATATTTGTGTTCGTGGGGATATTTCTGATGGTATTCTGGATAAATCTTATCTCAGTAGTTTCTCAGCCGGTAGAGTATCTACTATATACAAGGCTAGATCTGACTACATCCAATTATAGTTATTATCTTTAATAATGTGCACAAAAACATCACCTTGCTGCCACAACCATCCTGGCTTAATGTTTATGGCCACGGCTATTAATGATCGTTGTGGATTATGATGCTGTGATTGTGGTTTGGCTCCAAAAAGCCTACGATTTTAATCATATGGCTGTATTGTTTCCTAGTTTGTAGGAGTAACTGTCAGGTGCATCTCACTATTTTCATTTAAATGATCGTTTTTTTTCCAATATTTTCTGCTTCTCCATGAAATGGGTGTGTTCTTGGCCCATGGGGCGTGGGCGTGGAGTACTTGCTCAGGAGCTATATTTTTTGCACCAATTTTCTTTAAACGTATAGTCAATCTGGCAGGAGCTGTAGTTTGTCGAGTCATGAAGGTCAACATTCGCAGGATTTGAATTTCACTTTTATAGGCGACTTTCTAAGAGTGGTTTTAGTATCATATTCACTACTAATGAATAAGTTGATAAATGAATAGACAGTGTAATGTTATGAGAATGGAGTCCGAGTCTATTGCATTAGCAGGGAGGCATCCTGGCTAGAGAGAAAGATAATGTGGATCTAATGGGCCCATACTCTGAACGAGTCTCCGACACATTAACATGAGACAGTGGGATTTGTATTGGTAGTCTAGCACCTCAACGTCCAGAATATTTGTGCTCGGTGGATTCTTGGCCGACCATTTGCCAGTATGCGACACAATTTCAGAAGAAAATCTCCCATACCTTGAGTTGACATTGTGTTTGACCAAGGTGCCATCATGATTCTGAATCAGCACCATAGTCAACCATGAAAACCTCATCATCCCGCTCTTAGCATGATCATGGGGGCATGCTTACAATTTATCCTCAATTGCGTCTTTGAATTTACTTTCCACAGCCGCAATCTCTTGGCATCATCCATGCTCAGATTTTAAATCTCTTTTTTCTTTCATTAATTCTTCATATTTTAATATTATATATATTTTTCCTTTTAATTTCTTAGGTGGGTACCTACAAATCTTCTTAATCATGCCAATATTTTGAGCTCTGTCATGCTTCTTATCATGTTTTCGCATGTTATACAACAGTTAATTGGTATTCACGTTGTTTTATGGAGAATTCCCTGTAAAATTTTTGCTCATTGGGCCTCTGCCGGGCTTTTCGCTGGGCCCGGTGTGATCTGGGTCTGATGCTTTTCCGTTGATTACCCTCTGTTCTTCTGTGACTAAATCATCTCAAAGTCAGACATTATTGTTCCTGCTATGAAGATTTTTGATATTCTTGGCAAGTATGCTTATATGCTAAGCTGTGAAATTTCAGGGTGATCCCTCTTCAGACTCGAGTGGCATTTATGTCCACTTGCTCTATATTCTGGAACTTTTACCTCTCATCGACGCTGAGCAAATGATCTTAGTGTGTGTGTGTGTGTGAGAGAGAGAGAGAGAGAGAGAGAGAACCTGTGGCTCTGGCAGGAAGCTCTAGGGGTACCCACCGCACTCTCCCTCTTGTATTTTATTTCCATAAAAAGGAAATATAATCCATCTGTCAGCTCACCAGGTGATGGCGGCCGTTGACTAAGAGGAGGCGTTGGCGGCGGTGGCAGCTCTTTGATAGGCTAAAACCCCCAGGTCCCCTGCATCATCCTTCCACACTTGTCATTTGGAGAAGTTGGTGCTGCCACCAACCGGGTTCTTGTTAAATTACGATTTTTTAATATAATTTATGTGTCATTGCAATGACTCATGTTCTTGTAAAATAAACCAAAAAAAAAAGTTCGGATTTATTTATCTGATTGGTGTGAGTTTTTTTTTTTTTTTTTTCTGGGTTCCTGCTCAGTAATCTATCGCGTGCAGTTATATTATTCCAAGAACCTTCTTGCTGTTCATGGTTGACCGATTCCAACTTACGTCCGAAGTTTATTTAAATAATTATGTGATATATATATATTTATTTATTTATTTAAGTTCACTCGAACAAGTTGATGATCTGTGTGCCCAGATGGCTTTAGGCCCAGAAAACTCCATGACATTTTCCCCCGAAATAAAAGGTACTTAATTGGTCAAAAGCGTTGCTCCATCGATGAGTTGACCTTTGCACAGCTCCCTTCTGACGCCGGAAGATGTCAATGGGGCGGGGTTTCTTGAAGCTCTCCTGCTCGCCTACCCCTTTCTCGTGTATTTTCTTGTGCTTGTGGTTTTTATCCTCGTCTTCCATGAAAGATCTGCTAATCTCTCTCTCTCTCTCTCTGTCGGTGGCCCTGGTTTACTCTCTCTTTCTCTCTCTAGCTGGTGGGTAAGCGCAAGTCTTATTTTTTAAAGGGCCATCTGTCGTCCAGCGTTGGGTACTGGGCACATAGGCTGCCTAGCCAGGCGGCGTAGGGCGTGCGGCGGCGGCGTGTCGTCCTCGAAGGGACGAGTGGAGGAGCAGCAAGTCTCCGCCGTGATCGACCCCCTACCTCGGGTGCCGGAGACTCGGTCAATCCGCCGACTCCCAACTCTGTGGCCGTTGCCCGCACGCCAGCGGTGCCGTCAAGGTTAAAACAAGCGAGAGAGAGAGAGAGAGAGAGAGAGAGAGAGAGAGAGAGAGAGGGGCTCGTGAACATGAATGAACATGACACACAGATCCAAATCAGAGAATCAGGGGGCGGAGCAGGAAGTCAACAGTTGACGTAAAAGTCACTGCATGCTTGACAGTGTGGATTTGGTTTCATTAAATCAGGGCAGAATTCTTCACCTCATGTACAGAAAGATTGGCGAGTTATGTCCCCCGAAACATGTGAATATATGTGAAAAAAATAAAAATGATGACGGTGTGGCTCACTTGATTGAGCGATCGATCTTCTTCGGCAGTTCCTGTCTCCCCTTCGCCTGTTGGTTGGGGTACGAGTGAAAGAATGGACTGGAATCACCCGAGTCTGAGCACAGAACTCGACCAGGAGGAAGATGCAGAAGTCTAGGACGACGATGATCATAGAAGAAGATCATCGAAGAAGATCATAGAAAAAGAAGAAGAAGAAGAAGAAGAAGAAGACGGTCACAGGAGAAGAAGAAGGATGAAGACGATCATAGGAGAAGAAGAAGAAGAAGAAGAAGCTAGAGAACGGGCACGGAGATTGAAACGGGAACGGAGACTGAGACATCACCGCGGCCGAAGTTCCTGCTCCGCCGGATGGAGCTGCTCCGAGAGAGGGCATACTCCAGGGCCCATCCGCCGTCGAGCGCCAAGTGGCAGCGCTGGCAGAGTTTCGCTAGCGACGCCGCCTTCCTCCTCGCCCGCTTCGTCCCGGTGAAGAGCAGCGTCTGCAACAAGGCACCCAGAGCCGGCGCCCTCGCCACCTTCTCCGTCATGGCGGCGCCGCCGCAGCGACACAACTCCAGCAGCGCCGCCACGGCGTACTCCTTCGCCCGCGGGGTTCCCCTCCCCATCAGCCCCGCCAATCCGGGAACCGCCGCCTCCTCCCCGCCGATGGCCGCCGCCGCCGCTGGCTGCCTCATCAGCAGAGCCAAGGCTCCTGCCGCCTCCTCTGCGACGGCGTCCTCCGCCAGCGCCGCCACCAGGGCGGACGTGGCTCCACTCTGGATCATCCTCTCGCAGCAGTCGCAGTGGGTGGAGATATTGAACAGCGCCGTCACCGCGTCCTTCTTCCCCCTCTGGCTTCCCTCCCGCAACAGCCCCATGAGGGCCTCCACCGCGCCCTCCTCGGAGGAGATCATCTTCTTATAGTCGTGGACGGCGGAGAGGCTGAACAGGGTCGCCGCTGCGTTCTCCCTCGCCTCCGTCGTCCGCCCGGAGATCAGAACCTCCACGATGGAGCTCAGGCAGCCCGGCTCCGCCATTATCTGGCTCTTGTTCTTCTCGAGGATGGAGAGATTGAGGATCGCAGTCACGGAGTTCTCCTGCGCCGCCGGGTCCGGCGAGGAGAGCAGTCGCCGGAGAAGGGGGATGGCGCCGGCCTCGGCGATAGAAGCTCTGTTCTCCCCACCGTTCTTGGCCAGCAGCCGCAGCTCCCGGGCCGCCACCGTCTTGGCGGCGTCGCCCCCCCACGAGAGCTGCGCCACTAGGAGCTTCGCCGTCGCGCGGTTGGCCTCCACGGCGGCCCTGCTAATGGGCCCAGAGGCCGCGGGCTCAGGGCAGCCGCCGTCGCCGCCGTCGGAGGACTCCGGTGGGTCGAAGATGACGCCGTGGGCGGCGCACCACTGCGAGATCAGGCTCCGCAGAGCTCTGTTGGGAACCAGGCGGCTGTGTCGGAGCGGCTGGCCGGAGTTAGGGCAGGAGCTGTGGCCCTCGTTCATCCACCGGACGATGGAGGAGCGGTCGTAGGTCTGCCCTGTGCAGACGATCACCGGATCCCGCATCAGATCCAGCGAAATAGGGCAGCAGAATTCCTTGGGAGGAACGGCGTCCCCGGGCCCCATGGATGGCGGCGGCGGCGGCGCCTCCTCGAGCATCCTGCGATCGCCGTAGATCTCACCAGCGTCCGCGTCGAAGCCGAAGAGGGAGAATCTCGCATACCGTGCGAGGGCGACGACGCTGTGGAGGAAGGAGATGTCCGCCACCTCCTCCTCGTTGCAGATCTGCTCGAGGAAGTCGACCTCGGCCTTGCAGGCAGAGGCCTCCCGGATTGCCAGGCCATCGACAAAGACCTCCCGGAGCTCCGACAGATCCGGCGACCGCCCCTTGTCCAACTCGTCGATGAAGGCGTCAATCCGCCGCAGCAACGCCTCCTCCCGGGGATCGAGGAAAAGCTTGGACCGCCTTGCCTGCCGCTGCAGGAGCTCGATCTGCTCCTGTACATCCGCCGCGAGGGCGAGGTCCCCCAGGGGGAGGACGTCCAGGAGGGTGGAGATCTCCTGGTTGAGGTCGTGGAACTGGCCGGAGATCTGGACGCTCTGGAGGAGCAGCCAGATCCGGCTGGACTGCGCGCAGTAGACGAGCAGGTTCTTCGATCGGCCGAGAAGGATGTGGATCTCCTTGAAGCAGAGAGTGGCGGACGACGGCAGGCGATCCCCGGTGAAGGAGTCCCGGAGAAACTCGAACAGGGAGAGGAAGATCTTCACCTTGCTGATGAGGGACCGGGAGTTTCGCCGCTGGAAAGGAGCGGAAGCCTTGACGGACGAGCACACCTCGCCGGCGAGGCTGGCGAGTGTTCGTACCAGGTCCACATCAGAGAGATCCCTCCCCGGGAAGAAAACCCCCGCCGCCAGCGACTTCCTCCTCCTCGAGAAAGAAGAAAAGAAGGGCGAGAAGGCCATAACAAGATCCCAATCCCCTGAAAATCCAAGCTCCCCTCCCACTCCTCAGTTCAATCCGCTCCTATCCCAACCATCGCCGCCGCCGCCGCCGCAGCGTCCTCCGGATTTCTCCCCTTCTCTCTCCCCCTCTCCACCTCCCTCTATTACACAGGAGATTGACCCTACAGGCGATCCTGCGCCTGAGCTCTCCACCGCTATATTCGCACCAGGCGTTTCCCCGTCGCGGCCTCGGATGGCGATGGGCCAGGTCAGGAAGAACCCAGGGAAGAAGAAGAAGAAGAAGAAGAGGACGAAGATGAAGAAGACCAGAGGGGAAGGGTACATCGGAATTAATCCACCTTTATCTAATAAATAATATTTTTAATATTCACGGTGACGATTTATTTAATAGGTAAATCCACGTAAGCAAAACTCGTTCACCGTTGACCAAATGTTTTCCAAAAAAAAAAACAACCCGAGAGGGAAAGATCTGCTTTAAAATAAGCTTCTGGGGCCGATTAAGTCCCTTTTTTTTCTGATATTTATATTTTAAAAACTTATCATATCCACTTGGGTTTATCTAATTTTTATAAAATTATAATTTTATTTAAAGTCACTATTTTTTTTTCAAAGTCCCAGGGAAAGGGATTACCGATTTTTTTCCGATTATTATCGGTCACTATCTTGCACCTTAAGATGAATGGTGATAAGAATATCCGACGTGGAAGGAAATTCTGGTCTTCACGACGGGAGCTTCTAGAGTATGACGTCACCCCCCCTTTGAGCACTCCCCACCGGGTTGGATTCCGTGGATGCCATAAATAGTCTTGCGGCGGTTTTTTCCACGGCTCTGGCTTCTTCAACGCGTAAATAATATTTGGCGTTTACGGCAGAATTTTGATTTAGTTGGGCAAAAAGTCAATGCGCGTGGCGGCGGGAGGTAGGAGTAGCGTAGCAGTTTTAGCCGGCGCGAAGGGCGAGACTGAAGCGCTGGCTTTTTGTCGCGTAGTGCTGATGAATTAATTAATTTAGGAAATAATTTTAAGTATCAATTTTAACGACTGATCTTTAAAATTATTTATATTAAGGTGGTGTTAGTGGGTGGGGCTACCCCCGGACTTCGCCAAGGGCAGCGAGTCCTCACACTCCACCAGGTGCCTATGTGGCGCCTTGCTGTCCACACGGTTGATCTGGATTGGTCAAACCCAAATCTACGTGTGAACATATTAAATAGTTTTGATGTTGTTTTTTATTTTAATAATTATATTTAAGAGGAAAAACAGTACGCGTATACTATTTTCAGCAGGAATAAATACCACACTAAGAAAAAAGTAAAGGCAAACTTTTAAATTCCAGTCAATTATTTTACGTATTTATTGCCCAATAAAGTGGACGAATAATTAAGACTGACTTTCACAGACTCTCTCTCTCTCTCTCTCTCTCTGCAGTCTGAGACAAGGCTTTCGTCGTTGACCCTGGGCCAGCTGTTTGGGCCTCTGGGTCTAGCCGGCCCAGTAAAATCCCTACCTCTTACCTTACGTCTCTCTGTCTCTCTGTCTCTCTGTCTCTCTGTCTCTCTCTCTCTCTCTGTTGTCTTCTGTCCCCAGCCAAGCGAATTTGTGTAGGGATTTTCTGCCAGGCAGTGTAAGAGTAAGGGTTGACTAAGGGCCAGAGAGTTGACTAACTTTATTAAAGTTTGATGGAACAGGTGACTCAATGGGCTGTCCAGACTGACGTGTACGTTGATGTTCACGGCCGGGTAGGCTTCTCCTTGTCAGGTGGTGCGGACGACGTGATTGACGGGGTCGAACGTGGCCGTCCCATCAGACGGCCATCGTTTCCGTCGAAGAGGAGCCCACCGATCGGACGGGTGAAAGTCAGTCAAGTCAGTGCTGGGTATTATTATGTGCGGGCATTTAGCAGATAATGGGAATCAAATGGACCATTGAAAATTCAAATATCGAGTTTGTTTCAAAGTAGAAAAATCCCAATTGTGGGGCCCACATTCGACGGCCCCACATCGGTGGGCCCGCTTGCTGTTCTGATGTCCGCTCCCCAACCACAGCGGGGGATGAGATGGGATTGGCGGTGGGGCCTTTGGTAATTACTGGGCCCACCCGATAATTAATGGGCCCACTGTTTCTGACGCTGGGCCTACCACTTTTCAGACGGGGATTCGGGTAAAAAGCACGAGCCCAATAAGCCCAAGATAACGAGCTTTCTCCCTCCCCTCCTCTCTCTCTCTCTCTCTCTCTCTACTTTCTCTCAGTCTCTCTCCGCTTTTGCTTTCTACTTTCTCTCTCTTTCACCGAAGAGATGCAGGCGCCAAGTCTCCTCAAAATTTCGTGGTAGGAAATTACAAAATAATCCTTTCTATTATTTTTGATTGATGAACCTTGATTTTTTTTCCTTGTTCACCCAGGCCAGGGATATTATTGCAAACGTGAACCAACCGTCGTCTGAGAATTTCTCTGCGTTTGGTATAAAGCAGTCTTATCGGGTATTTGTATGTATAATTATGTTTTAAGGGTGCGGAAGAAAAATACCTCTCAAAGTATAAAGCCGGTACAGGGGCGGCAGACGTCGACCCCAGGGGACAGTAACGGCCGTAGGCGCTTCCCCCCTCCCTCTTCCCTCCTCCCCTCCGCCGCCTCTCCACCTTCCGACCGCCACCCCTCCGCCGCCTTTATCAGCCACAGCCGTAGCCGCCGCCGCCGCCAGAAGCCCAGCCGGAGCCAGAAAGAAGAGCCGAGATGAAATGGGTCAGGCGGCGGAAGCAGAAGCAGAAGCAGAAGCAGAAGCAGAAGCAGAAGCAGAAGCAGGAGGAAGAAGACTCCTCCTTGTCCAGCGGTTTCTCTCTCTTCCGGCTGCTTCCGCTGTCGTGGGTCTCCAAGCTCAAGTCGGCGAAGTCCAGCAAGAACCCATCTCCGGCAGGTGACCTCCCGGAGACCAAGCAGAAGCCCCGGTCGCCGGAGTTTCACTCGTTCGTCCCTCCGGCGATCTTCCACCGCCTGGTAGGCCGGCGGCGGGAGGAGGCAGCAGTGGCGGCGGAGGAGGAGGAGGCCCCCCGGCGGCATTCCTGCGCGACCGCCGACGACGTGCGTCGCTTCGGGCGGAGCAGAGGGCAGCGGGAGCTCTTGCTAGGCTCCGCCAGGTTCGACGTGGGGTGGGGAGAGCCGGATTTTCCCCCGTTGCTGTCTTGCCGAAGTTGCAGAGTGGAGCCTCTCTCCCCGCCGGAGAAGACAGCTCTCCGCCGCCGCCGGAGGATCTGTTCTTCTTCTTTTTCTTATTCTCCTCCTCCGGTGGAGAAGGGGAGGAGGAGCTTGGAGGGCTTTGCGGTGGTGAAGAGATCGAGGGATCCGCAGAGGGATTTCAGGGAGTCGATGGTGGAGATGATCGAGAGGAACGGGATGGGGAGAGCGGAGGAGCTGGAGGGGCTGCTGGCTTGCTACCTGGCGCTGAATGCCGACGAGTACCACGACGTCATCGTGAGGGTCTTCCGGCAGCTCTGGCTGGAGATGGATCCATCGCCGCCGCCCTCCCGCTAGGAGGAGAGGGGGCCCTCCATCTTTTCCAGCGACGGTGAAGATAAACTTCTTTACTCGGTCGCAGCAATAAATCACTGTACTATTTGCAATGCGCCTATGCTTTTCTCTCTCTCTCTCTCTCTAGAATGACTCCCTCCCCCCCATTCTCCCTGTCTCCTTCTATACTTTCCTCTTGCAGGACCGTGTGGACAATCAAAGAGGAGAGAGAGAGAGAGAGAGAGAGAGAGAGAGAGGGTTTTTCCTTCTCCATCGCCGCGAACTTCCCGAACAATTTTCAATACTTTCGCAATGCAGTATTATTCGACCCCACAGGACTGCCCAACCATGTGGAGAATCACAGGGATAGAGATAGATAGATAGATAGCGAGAGAGAGAGAGAGAGATAGAGAGAGAGAGAGAGAGAGAGAGAGAGAGAGAGAGAGAGAGAGAGAGAGAGAGAGAGAGAGAGAGAGAGAGAGAGAGATAGAGAGAGAGAGAGGCGTTCATTCAATCTCCCATTTATTTCAATGGCCGAGCATCTGCTCTGGGAAGAGGAGCGGCCGCCGGCGATTAGGAGAAGATATAGACCTCGTCGTACCCCTTCCTGCCTCGCAACCAGCACCAAGATCAGAACTTTATGAGCAATCCCCACATGAAACTAATGCAAGAACAAATATGCCATCCCAATAAGAACAAAGATGCGGTCATAGACTGGTTTTGGGTCGAATTTCTCAAAGAATTTAAGACAAATATTATCCAAACAGTGATGGGTCTTACCCTGCTTTCCCGCAGTAGGTCGCCCTGAAGTTGTAGATCAGATTGGCCAGCACCTGTCCAGCCGGTGGCCTGTTTGAGGACTTCCTCGCCTCACTGCACCCATTTAGAGAGCGAAAGAGAGAGAGAGAGAGAGAGAGAGAGAAAGAGAGAGAGAGAGAGAGAGAGAGAGAGAGAGAGAGAGAGAGAGAGAGAGAGAGAGAGAGAGAGAGAGGATATGATCAGGAGCTGGAAATCTTGGAGAAGATGAAGGAAGAGCAGAGAACAATTTTTTTGGATAGCTAAGAGAGCTGCTGAGGACCTGATGAAGTAATTGGCGGCGTGTTGGGTCACTTGGACTGCATCTTCACTGTGAGGAATCGCTGAGACGCCCCACTCGAAGGCGTTCTTCTGTTTAAACAAAGTTGAAGTCAAAAGTTCAGAAGGATAGTATCGAGGCCAGCTCAAGTCAAACTATCGAGCTCCAGCAACCATCTGGCAGCATTTGACTTTCACTGGTTTTTGCTGGATTAGGCACCGGTCATCTCAATCCGGGTCTAAACCTTTCGAGAATCTTTGGTGCTTGGACAAGCACCTTCTCATCAAGTAGAGACATTAAGATCAGTGAGAGAAATTTCCCAAAGTGGGATATTTTGAGGATTTTGGAGCTTTCAATGCCTTCCAGGATCTCTGATCTTGAACTCATTTATAGATGAACAGAATCAGATGTCACTGGTACCTCGGGATGCCACTGGAAGCCGGTGATTGGATAGCCATGCGCTTGTACAGTGGACACATAAACCTGGTGCAAGAAGTTGCCCAATGATGGGCCACATTAGGATCACAAGGCGATTCTCATAACCCTAAGTAAGGTGCATTCTGGTTTACCTGGCCCTCATCATCTGTGCTGGTGGTCAAGATCTTGAAGAAACTAGATAAATCGGGATTTTGTTGGAACCTTCCGGGTGATATACCGTACTGATCGTTCGTTAAGAATGAGAAAGATGAGCAGGTCAGGGTATATTATCTGGCACATAAAAAATATAATCGACTAAAAAAAAAAAGAGAGGACAAATTTAAATTGCAGACTATTGGAATTGAAACCACAGAGAACCTTTTCGAATTGAAATGGGATTAATGCATCTGAAATTAAATTAAGGAAATATATAATTCTCCAAAACTTACTTTATGATTCTGCATGACTAGACATTCTTTGCTCAACTTTGCCAGCAAGCTTGGAGGAAATCTGAAATACTGTTGATATTAACATAAAATGATGTGGTAATAAAAGTAATACAAATAATCACATCCTAATAAACGAATGGGCATGATTTTTTCTCTTTCCTAAATAAATAAATAAAGAAATAAATCAATAAAAAGTAGTAAGAGCGTGAAAATGAATAATAGTCCATAAAAATATCATATGCGCCAAAAAAGGAAAGAAAATGATGTTTTTATCATAATAATTTACTTATCAACTAACATTGAAGAATCATGACAGAAAAAGATCACCGTCTGAAATAAGTGGCTGATGGATTGGAGGGTTGCCTATCGAGTTTAATACCCAAACCAATCAGGGTCGATCATGACCCAGTCAGAGACCACTGGAACTGTAAAAATTACCAAAGAAATGTGAATGAGGGATCAATAATTCCAATTTTCACTTTTACATGATAATTTGATATTTAAAAATCGAATTCATCGGCCAAATGCCCTTCAAGTAAGAGGAGTTGAGTTTCTGAATCTTGGTGCTATTCCCACTTCCTCATTAGCAAGGACTGCATATTAATTGTTTAAACTTCAGCCCAATTCTCGACTCATATTAATTTTGATTTTACTCTAATGGATGACACTGGACTACCTGTCTTCCTAATTTTTGGATTGCGTTTGGGACTCACACACCTTCTTGACTGATTTTGTGGACGACCTGGCCCCTCTGTGAGTGAGAGTAATGCTTCACATTGTTGTTGCTTTGTATTTTAGAAGCAACGGAAATATATCTATATATAAAACTCTTGCCAGATTTTTTGGGTGCTTATGTAATTCTACGTTAGTATACTCTTTAGAGGGATTCGGGTAGTTCTCTGGCCATGCTATATAGGTGGATTTTGGAACTATGTTGACCACATGTGAAGATATAGTTTCAAATCACCAGTTAGTAGCCAGATTCACAGGACATAAGTCGCTCACACCCTTGTGACATCCTGTCGGGATATTAGCTTTTGTCTCGGATTGATCCAATTTTTCAATGATGAGGAGGGAACTACAAGTTTCTGGGTTAAATCGACCCAAGGGGGGCGCCTTGTCACTTTATTCTTGATGTTGAGAGTGGAAGCATAGACCAGGGTTCATGAAAAAATTGAAGTGAGAACAGATATCTCCTACCAGTCACATCCAATCATTTTTTTGGATGAGAGCTTCTATACAGGGGAAAATATTTATTATAATATCCCTGCAATGAATATGACAATTAAGTCGCATGTTTAAAAGACTTGAATTTAATTTGGTGATCAATTGTTCAATCATTTCACGATACTGAATTAGCAGTGGGCCAATTCAAACTTAATTCACCTGCATTAGGGTTGATCTAGACATGTGCGTCCATTCAACCTGAACCACCAGCTACATCAAGAAGGGACGGAAGAACATGAGGAGAAAATGAAGAATTGGATGGAAAATGAGTTGGGAGCTTAAAAAAGAATGAGATTAGATCAGGAAGCATGGAATTATTGCAGAAGAAAAGATGTTTTCTTTTTCACTTTTTCGTTTCCGTTTTCATATTTTTTATCCTTTTTTTTCGTTTCCTTTTCATTTTGATTTATGAATCAATCAAGAGACAGTATTCACCCAAAAATTATCTGAATTTTTGCAGGTAGACAAATTAAAAAATAATACACTTATCATGCAAACGGATAATTGCGGCTGCTGGGAAAAACGATGGATGCAAATGCTTAAGTGAGTCTTACACTCCAAACGTAGAATATGCCGAAATGAAAAACATAGATGCATGAAAACTATCCATTAATTTTAAATCAAATACCTTTGAAAAATAGTTCCTTGAAATGCCATATCTTCGGCAAATGTAAGTGTTGAAGCTTGATTTGTCCCACTAAAATGTTCAAGAATATCCTCGTCCTAAAACAGGAGTGATGAAACGTAAGTACATTAAAAATAGAAAAAGAAGGAAAAAAAAAGAGTAGACACGAGTAGGAATACAATGATTATTCTGCACGGGATCATTTGGTAGTATCTTAAAAGGACTCTTGGAAAGTATTAAATTTTAATTTAGTGAAGGAGAGGGCTGCACAACAGTTTTAGTATACATTTTATGATAATGAAAAAAAAAAAGGAACAAATCCGTCCCCTAAATTAGGTTCAGATGGCTGCAACAAAGGCCAACTAATGCGCAAATATTTTCCATCAAACTTACTCATGCATTCTAAAAATCGTTTGGATCATTAGAGAACGTTAAAGAACATATGAAATGTACTTAGAAATAATTATAGAGCCCTATTCCGTCCATATGTGGTCTGTATTTGCACAGAAACTGAGATTTGTGACTATGATTGAACAAATTTATTTCCAAAATTTTTGTTTCACAAGGAAATCCAGTAACCTAGGATAAACATAGCGATTAGTTGTAAATTTAAAACAACGATGATACAGCAGGAAGACTGGGGAGAGCTTACACACTAGAGAAAGGAGATATCATACTACACATTTTCCCCTCCGTTTCATGATACTTGAGCGCAGAATAGCATTTTATTCATTAAATTTGCGGGAATCGTTGTCTAGATTAAAATCATGATTACGGACCAGGAAGATGAGGGACTTGCGAGATTGCATAGAAGAATCCATCCTTGTACAATACCTTTTTTTCCCTCGATTTTATGATAAATAAATTGGACAACTTTGTGAACTAGAAATATTGTTTCACCAAAGAATAGCTAGGATTTCTACCCCTATAACCTACCAAGGCATGTTTTCCAAGGAAATAACGCTGGACATTGAAGATGGAAAGATGGAAAAAACCAAAGGAAGAGTAACACAAACGGATAAAAAGGCCCATGTTTCACAGAAACCCAAAAATACTATGAAGGAAGTGTTACCTTGCTTATCATGATGCTCACAATCTCAAAACCTAGGCAGATTGCAAAGAGTGGAAAATGCTTCCCTGCATCATTCATCTCCAATACTTTCTGAGGCGGCGAAAATTAGTAAACACATTTGTCAAATAAAAGCAACAGAAAGTCATTGAAGCTGATCAGCATTGTTATAGTGGCGTTAGATCGCATGCCTGGAGTATATCCTGTGCAGTATCGTAATATAGACCCCTTTTTGCCCATCCTCCCGTAAATAACACCCCATTAACCAGTTTAAGCTTCTGTCATTTATGAGAACACGGAACACTAAACAACGTCAGAGAAGTGAGGGCTAAGAGAGAAGAGACAGGGAACAGAGACGAGTAAACCCACTTCATAGATGATCTCCCTGGGCTCGTTGAAGATGAGAGGGATAACTCGAGCGCCGGCGGATTCGACGAACTTGACGTACGAGGCGGCTATGTAGGAGGCATCGGTGGCATTACTGAGCCTCCCAGATGCGCCGTCGCCAGGATGGCTGAGTATCCCGATGACTGGCCGGTAGTATAGAGAAGGGTCCGGAAAGGGGCACTCGGACTTCTTTTGCCCACCCTGCAGCAGCTTCTCTTCTCCTGCAGCTCGACCGGAGAAGACGATGGACTGGGCGGCGGCGGCGACATCTAGGACCTTGAATGAGCCGACAACGAGCAGGGAAAAACAGAGCCAGCTCCATGGCCCGGAGCGACCCATCATCAGCTACTGTTGCGCGGAGTTGGTAGTGGTGGATGAAGAAGTGATTGGGGGTGGCAGGCAACTGAGCATCCGCCGCGCGGCAGTAGGCAACTGGTCAGTCGGAGCAATACCAAATTGGCCAGCTTGAATTGTCTGCTTAAGTGATGATTCAAAGCACAGAGAGAGAGAGAGAGAGAGAGAGAGAGAGAACTAAGGACGACGATTGTCCCTTTTGCAGTAAGGAGTTGTCCCCTTAACGAAAGGAAGAAGATTTTCCGCGCGAAGTTTCTTTATCTACAATAAAATGGTTAAGCTTTTGATATTCTTTTAATCTTGTTCATCCCAAGAAGACGTGTTCAGAATGAAAAACCAGTCTTAGAATGTCATGGATAATGCGAATTTATACTTATTTCCAACAAGGATCACTACCTTTCAAATACATGGGATTTCCTATTTACAAAGGAATTTTAAAACAACATTATTTTGAAGATTTGATCTGAAAGATTAGTGGCAAAGTAGATGGTTGCAAAGCTAAATTTCTATCCCCTCGATGAAGACTTACACTTGTTAAATAAGTACTTACTGTCTCTCCAACTATTTTCTAAGTTTGGATCCCAGTAGTTCTTAACTCTAAGAAAACACTTGTTTCTTGAATGTCCTCCCTAGCTTGACTTTTGTTCTGCTCTAATTGGCCAAGCCATGGAGTCCATTTCTTTAGGATCCTTAAACCCCTTGATGAAGAAAAAGCTTCTGAATTTTAATCCATAACAATTGGTAAATTGCTTTTCTTGGTAAAGATTTTCCCATAAGTAAGGAAGGTATTGGGATGTAGATGAATAGCTGCTTGTTTGAATGGGTCGTTGAAAAACTTAATTGACATGTTATCAATCCAAAAGTACATATTTTTCTTTTAAATATTCACTTTCATACTCTAAGGGCTACTTGTTTAACTGATTTAATATTTTCTCGCCCATAGTAATCTTCATCAGTTGGATATGCACTAGATCCACTTGGTTCCTCTTGTCATGTGGTTCCTCTTGCTTAGAAACCAATAGGGCTTGCCAGGTGGTAAACTTCTATTGGATCCTCCTACTTAAGAAAGTGATGCCAATCTGCCTAAATGTTATAATGTGTCCATACAACATCAAATCAGTGCATTTATACCCAAGTTTAGAAAAATCTCAATACATGGTAGAATTTTGAAACAAGCCCCTCCTAATTGCTAAGGCAATAGAAGATACAAAAATACATAAACACAAGAGTTGTTATCTAGATTACCTATTATAATATACAAAATAAGTGACAAAACTCATAGCTTAATACATAATTCTAAAAATGTGTGTGTGTGTGTGAGAGAGAGAGAGACCTTTATTCATTCTCCCTTTTATTCAATGACCGAACACCACTTTAGGTAGAGGAGCGGCCACTAAAGATTGAGAGTAGATGTAGACCTCATCATACTCTTTCTTACTTCACTACAACCACTAAGAATATAACTTTATGAGTAATTCCTGTGATAAGTTTTCATTATCATGAGTTAATAATTAATAAATAATATAATTTTAGCCTTAACTCATGATAAATAGATTTATAATTATGTTAAATTATAAAAATTAGTTTTTAGTTGATTAATGTGAATTTTTGGCTAATTATATAATTATATATGAATTTATAAGATTTTTCTAGTTCTATTTTTGAGATAAATGAAGAAAAAAATTAACATTAAAATATAAAAAAAGAGAATGACATGCTGGCCAACTAAGTCTGCAAGTGAGTCGAAAGTGTAGTCGGGGGGAGCCACGAGTAAGGGCTTGAGTGGCTATGAACTGATGGAGGCACATGTGCGTTACTTCCCTTCCACGTCACTAGTGGCCAGTCGGTTGTGAGGCAAGGAGTGGTTGTACATGTGGGAGAAAAAGATTAATTACTTGGAAATGTGATATTATTATATATTCACCCAAAACTTTGGCATACAACCGATGTGGGATTAAACCCATGTCACACCTTCTTTGGAATGATTTCATTTATTTTAATATCTAAAATACTACTTAGTTATAACAGAGATATACTTATAATGACATCACTTTATATAGGTATTAGAGTACTTATTTCAATCTCTCTCATGTAGGTGGGTGATCGATGTAGATTCGAATCCTACTAGAGCCAAAACTCATATTTTTTATATAATTAAATCGTAATTTTTTTACATATCACATGTGAAGGATTAAGCCGTAAGAATCAGTCGATCATTAGTAAAAATTTCGTCAATACGATTCGCGGAACATTATAACTAAAATTGCTGAACGATTTGTAATAAAATGATCACAAATCTATTGAGTAAAACATCTCTGATTGATCGACGAATAAGCCATCGTCGGGAAGAAGATGATATGCCGAGAGATGAGTAACGACCTCCTAAGAGTGTACTGGATGCAATGAAGAGCCTCCTCTTGTTGGGCAGACCTAAGGATGAAGCTCCCTAACACGTGCCCCACCTCCATTCAGCTCTTCTCCATCGGGTGATAGTCACTAGAGAGCCGCAAAGTCGCCGTTTTTCTATTGTGCTGAGTGACAGCCACTAGAGATGATTCGACGACCCATTTTATTGATCTCTAAACTTAAAAAGAAAATCTAGAAATTACCCATGTCGTCCTTATCTAAGGAGAGCCTTCAAGGTCATAAACACTACATGATGATTCTCTTGAATACTCAAGATTCTGGTGCATCGCCAATGCATCGCCGCTGCGATGTTAGAATTTTGTTTTCATACTCTCAACTTAATTTTCACTTCATTCAATGATAATTTGTGTGATTTAAATTTACTAAATTATTCTTCATTCAATGATAATTCTATCGACTTTTACAAATCTTAATTTGATCAATTAAATCATTTGTAATCACTTACGTAAGAATCACCGAGTGAAACTCTGTTTCTGTCTAATTCGCATTCATCGAGTGCTGACGTCATCTTGACGTCTGCACCCTTATTTCTCTTTTTTTCGAATTTTAAATATATTTTATTTTTATTTCTAAATCTAAAATTTATAAAAAATTATTTTTTTGAGAAAAATTCTAAATAATTACCCGATATTATATTACATCCCTATGATTGACTTGGAAAATTTGCACTATTTTTGAAACTTTTATTAAATTATAATTGATAGATTTGTTCAAAAATACTTCTAAATATCTTAAAATTGATATTTTCTAGTTTTATAAATTTTAAATTTACGTGTTTACTATACAACGACTAAGTCATGTCACCTTACAAGAATAATACTCATTTTTTATTGTGACAAGAACAAAGATGTGCTCATAGACTGATTAGGGGTTGAAATTCCCAAAGAATTTAAGAAAACTATTATCCAAATTAGGATGGATTTTGCTCTGCTTTCCCACAAGTTGGGCTGAAGTTGTAAATTAAGTTGGCCAACACATGTCTGGCCAGTGGCATGTTTGAGGACTTCCTTGCCTCACTGCACCCATTTATAGATAGATAGATAGATAGATAGATAGATAGATAGATAGAGAGAGAGAGAGAGAGAGAGAGAGAGAGAGAGAGAGAGAGAGAGAGAGAGAGAGAGAGAGAGGGAGGATATGATCAGGAGTTGGAAATCTTGGAGAAGATGAAGGAAGAGCAGAGAATATTTTTTTTGGATAGCTAAAAGAGTTGTTGACTTGATGAAGTAATTGGCATGTGTTGGGTCACTTGGACTGCATCTTCACTATGAGGAATCGTAGACACACCCCACTCGAAGGCATTCTTTTGTTTAAACAAGGTTGAAGTGAAAAGTTTAGAAGGGTGATGTTGAGGCTAGCTGAAGTCAATTATAACGCTCTGAACCATTTGGTAGTATTTGACTTTCACTTGAAATTTTGGAGATGTTTCATTGGGTTTTATAGGAGAAAGCACCAGTTATCCTAATTGGCACTTTTAACTATTTGAGGATTTTTGGAACTTTTCTAGAGAGTGGGTATGACTTGGACAAGCTTTGGCACCATCAATTTGAGAAAATCCCTCAAATTTATCCCAATTGGGATTTAAATCTCGAGGATTCTAGAGTTTTACTACCACAAGATCAACATTTTTTATCAACATTGATAAAACCTCAATATTATATGATAGGATATGTATATTTGATATGATTATAGTTTAAATGTCTTAATGAAAGCATACATTCAATGTAAACATGTTTTTTATGTGAATTTATATTATTTACTGAATTACATAAAAAAGTATTAATTTCTATATATTTTGTAACATGCATATTCTATTGAATCAAAAGGTTTTTTTTATGCAACACTAGATATTCTATTAGATAGAAAAAATATATTTACATGCAGAGAAATTGGAAGAAAGGTAATTTAAATTTTAAATAGATTCTCTGTATTTTTGAAGTGTTTAATGAGTTGACTAACAAACCCATTATAGTCGGCTCACTATTAGGCCGCATACCAGCCCATTCTAATGGGAGGTATTTAAAGGGAGAGAGAGGAGAGAGAAAAGGGGAGAAGCACGCACAATCAGTAGAAATTAGGGCTCGCGAAGAGAAGACGGAGGAGGGCGATGAGTGGAAGAATGGAAAATCACGATAGTGACAACCACGATGACGATGATAGTGACAACATTGATGGTGGCGTGGCTGCAAACTCCTGTTTTACATGACATGTAAAGGAGGAGACGAGCACCGCGACAATGACAACAGTAGTGGTGGCGACAGCGGTAGTGGCTGCAAACTCCTATTTGGCATGATAGCCAAAGAAGGAGATGGGCATGGCAGTAGCGGTGATAGTGACTATAATACGCTCTCGACAATAGTAGCAACAACAGTGGTTGCAAGCTCTCTTACTGTGTGATAGGCAAAAGAGGAGTCAAGCACAGTAACAATAACATCCACACTCTTAGGCTTCGAATTGGGTGTTTTAGTTTCTACACATGTTTAGTTTTGTATTTCTTTTTCATTATGAATCTTGCAAATAGTAGACTCCATGAGATTTTCAACACTCACCGAATTCTA